CTTTGGTTAAAATCACTGATTTTCTCTGTGGACTTTGGTCTGTGAGCTAAAATCACTGATTTTCTCTGTGGACTTTGGTCTGTGAGCTAAAATCACTGATTTTCTCTGTGGACTTTGGTCTGTGAGCTAAAATCACTGATTTTCTCTGTGGACTTTGGTCTGTGAGCTAAAATCACTGATTTTCTCTGTGGACTTTGGTCTGTGAGCTAAAATCACTGATTTTCTCTGTGGACTTTGGTCTGTGAGCTAAAATCACTGATTTTCTCTGTGGACTTTGGTCTGTGAGCTAAAATCACTGATTTTCTCTGTGGACTTTGAACAGATTCTGAAGGTATGTTCTCTCACCTGTGAGAGGCTGAGGACCGAGGGTGGCGTGCATTCAATGCACTCATATAGAGTTCTGCTTCCGTATCTGCACTTGACCTCATCTCCATCTGGGTCAAATGCCAAGAGGTTAAAAACTCTGGGACAATTTGAAGGAACTCTGGTGAAGAGAAAAACTCAGTGTGTCAGAACCTCAGTACCACCAACCTTCAGAGACAGCTGTGTCCATTTTCTAACTTACACAGCCAAACGTAAACAATCGAAGTAGATTTTCTGACCTGAGAGCCGGCAGGATGGTGGTCTGTGGGGACGCGTTGGCTTGGCCGGTGTCAGAGCGTATTCTGAGGTCAACCAGTGTCACTGCATTCCATACAGTGACTCCGTTTCTGATGCCTTGTACCCAGGTAAATCCATTCATCCTTCAAGCAACAATTCAGGAGTCAGATTACAGTCAACAGAGTGGAACAACTCCCACTTACAGTAGGTAATAGCTAACCCCAAATTAGCTTTTCATTGGACATTTACACTTTACACTTACAGAAATATTATATATAGAAATATATACAGTAATATAGTATAGTATACTATTAATTACCTGAAGATAACAATAGCAGAAACAACAGTAAATAGGCCAACTAGCTCGATGTAGCTACAGTAACTCAAAGAATTAGCAGTTAGGAAAACAAATGTAAACGCTGGACTAATTCAATTAGACTTTAATTAGTTCAAAGACGCTTCAAATGAGTGAGCCGAAATATAAAATACAGAAAAGGTAAATTAGTTGCTTAATGTTGTCAATAAGCGATAGAATAAGAGACCAAATGTTAGCTGTTGAGCTGTGTGTGATGTTTGAACTGACAGCAGTTGAAAAGGAGCTCTGCTGGAAACCTCTCTGGTCATGACAGCCTCTCTCTGACACCACTCGCTATCACTCTCTTCATCCACCTCGTGCAGGGTCAGCGACGTTTGTGTCCCACACGCTCCACTCATGCAGTTCCACATGCCCATGCTGGTGCATGAGCTGAAGCTCAGCTTGTAACGAAGAAGCACCTGCAGGAAAGACGTCAGTCATGGCCTATTCTATATGTTTCGTTACATTCACGCTGAATTGTAGATTTTATAGGTGTGTTTGCACATTTCTAACTAGCTATCTTTTTGCTGTGTACTGTATACTAAACGTTAGCTTTTGTTTATTGTTGCTTTAGAAAACTTTCAGGGAACTATTTTGTCAGAGCTACAGAGAGGTGCTGCATTGGCTCCCTCTAGTGGTGTGGTCTAGTGATATGAGACCGAAGAGGGCAAGTGTGAACTGGGTACCAGCCAGTGTGTGTGTGTGTTTCCGTAATAATATGTATTAATATATATATATATATATATATAAAATAATTCTATAAAAATGCATTTTCTTCTTAATATACTGATCTTACATCAACACTACAGGTCAATGTACCTGTACAATCATTGTGAGCAACAATTGCTTCAAAGAAGTCATAATTTCTGCAGTTGTTAATGTCTGATTCCAGAGGTTGAAATGAATGAGGGAGTGTAAAAACAGAACGTACCGTAGTTTTTCCCTGGCTGCTGTTCTTTGGGTAATAAGTCATCACTGTTCCATAAAAGTGAGAAGCCAGTGAGCCGCTGACCAGCAGCAGCAGCGGCAGTAGGAGACGGCAAAGAGACATGGTGAAGGTATGATTGTCTCTGAACAGTCATAGTCACACAACACCAACACTTAAGCAGCCTCTCCCCCACACCCCCCTCCCCACCTCGGCCTCTGTACTCCCACAACACACATTACTCTGGCCTCTACTCAAACAATGAAGCAGGAAAACATGAGCTCCGTTCACTGTGAGAAAAGATGGCAACAATTCACTACAGATATTTATTTTGTTTTACTTTCATTTTATTTCTTTCAATTATCAATGGACTATTACATGGCTCTTCAGTTTAGCAGCACAGTTTACAATAGAATTAGACTAGATTGCAGTGGTCTATACGGTCTTTGATTATAATGTTGTGGAGATTATAATGTGTTTGTTGTTCTGGATTTGGATACAAGTACACTACAATATGAAATACTGAAATATAAATATTCAACTATGAAATAATGAACATGACGTTTGGGAATAAAAACCACTCTCCGTCTAAGTCTATAGAAATGATCAGGGAATTAAACTCGCTTCAATGTTCAAGACCAAATTGTTTCAGAGGTTTTTGCTTCATATACTGTACATACTGGTAGTGTCTCCTGTTTCTAGTGTTTTGTTCAAAATACTCCCAGTGGATTTTAGGACTTTCGAAATCCCTGAAGTGTCCAAAGAGTCAACAATGAAACCTGGTTTGAAAAGACTTCAAGCTTCTGTTGTTGAAAAAAAAATCACAAAAAACTTTTAAGTGAAAACAATCAAATGAGTGGACACACCCGGTTCTGAACCTAGCAGTCAAATAACAAAGCAGTGGAGGCTGTGCGAAACTGAAACCTGATCAAATCAGTCAAGATGCCGCTGATAAAATAGTTTGAATCTTTATATAAAAACAATTGTGTTGAAAGATGAGTTGATGGAGAGTCGTTTGACTCATTTAAATTAAAGATTTTGTTAGAAATCCTCAGACTCATGAAGACGCCTGCTGGTGTCAGCAGTATAATATGCTTGTGTGGCTTGTGAACATTTGACCTTTTACACCAAAGACTACAGGGAAACTTGGAGCAGCTGTTCACTGCTGCCTCATGTGGTCAGTTTGTTTCATAAAGGTGGATTTATATATATGTATATGTATTATGTATAAATATACCATCATATACTGTATATAAACCATCATACTAATAATCCTCATGAACGCGTCAAACATATGCCCCGCCTCTACAATTAATTATTCTTTGTGATTGGCCCGAGCTGCTTGTCAATTACGTCGAACCACTGTCATGTGATTTGTGTTTTCGTCGTTCCACTTCCGCCTCAGGATTAGGCTGTTCTCGTCTTGTCATCATGAGAACGTCACTTTGAGAACGCATTTTCAGGCTAATATTTTATACCAGGTGACCGTTTCTGGTCATTTTTGCGTGCTTTCTGAACGTTCTTCACCGCAGTCAACTCGCTCTACCTTGCTGAAGAGTCCCGAGCACCGGGAACAGGCATGGCGGACGAGGAGCGGTCACCGCTTCTGTCCGAGCAGCGCGAAGCTAATAGTGGCTTCACTGGTGTTGGGAATTCGCATGGTTTTCCTTTCAAACCACAGAGTAAGTCCAATGTGGCAGTGATTTTGATCCACTCTATGACATTAAATAACTAAGTCGTTTAAATAGGTTGAAACGTGACATTACAGGTTTTGTTGCCACGTTAGCATTGCGGCTAACGTTAGCAGTCAAAAGAATTGAGCAATACTGATGTTTAAAATAATTCAAAATAACGGTAAAATGTTTTTGTTATATTTGTGTAGTTATTTAAACTATTTCATACGGTTGGTGTAGTGGGAGTTATACATCGTTATTACAGCAAAAATATACATATATATATATATAAATTCATCGTAAAAGAGAGAACAACAAGTCAGTCATATGTTAAACATGTAAAATGGAGTTTTTTTCCAAAGTCAATGGGGAATCAGTGATTTTAGCTGACAGACCAAAATCAGTCTTAGCTCTGAGAGAATTTTAATTCCCCTCCTAAACCACCAGAGCCATAAAGTGAAGTGATACTGAAAACCCTCACAGGTGTTTTTTTATTGTCATGAATCCTGGTTTAAGTTCATGTCACCCACAGGTTGTTAACTATGAACTGTGAACTGTGTGAAGTATGTTTTACTTTCTTTCTAGGAGACACTTAACATCAACATGTTTTTTTTTTCCATAATTTAACTTAGTTTAGTAATGACCTATGTTCATTAATTGGATATACAGTATACTTCACAGTATTTACAGTAATTCTTGTGTATGGTAATAATATTGCTAAATTGTATGTTTACTTGCAAATTTCCAACTCTTGTCAATATGTTAAGTTCCCTCTTAAACTTTCGTCTGCTAACTACCAGCATCGTAGCTTTGAGTGTTCTTCACTTAACTTTTATCTTGCATTTTGGTCTATTATGTAATTTAAGTAGATATGAATGTATTGTTTTACTTGAATTTAAGCTGAAATGGTGGGTGTATTATTTCTTTCCTCCTGTCGGTCTCCAGGTCTCCCTCCATTCCCGAGCTCCCTTGCTCCGGATGAGCCTCCACCACCGTATTCTCCTCAGGGCAGCCCAGACAGCAGCAGTGCTCCGGTCATCAGCTGCAGGGTTTGTCAGAGCGCCATTTCTGTGGAGGGAAAGACGCACCAGCACGTGGTGAAGTGCAGTATCTGCAATGAAGCCACGGTCAGTTCACAGTATTTTCAGGGATCTAATCTGAGCGACTGAGTGCAGGTTCTCAAAGGAAGTGCAGTACTGACATGTCCACTGTAGACAGTGACCTGCTGTGGTTTGGTCCATTAAACACTTCCTGGATGCCAGAAGAGAGCCAGCCCCAAGAAAGCAATAAAAAACAACTGAAGAGTCAGGTTCCACTAACCAGATGTCTCTCAGATTTCAGTCCTTTTCTGCAGACTGTCCAGATAAATGTTGGAGACATTAAAACATCTTCTCTTCCTGTTTTATTTTTGTCCTCGTCTTCAGCCTATAAAGAATGCCCCCACTGGAAAGAAGTATGTCCGCTGTCCGTGCAACTGTCTGCTCATCTGCAAAGTCACGTCACAGAGAATCGCCTGTCCCAGGCCGTACTGGTGAGACGCTGTGTTTGTGTCCATTCAAGATCAACCAGCTCTGACTGCATTTACAGCTGCTCTTACATCAACCCTCATGTGTTTTTATACTGTCAGTAAACGCATCATTAACCTGGGACCAGTTCACATCGGCAGGGACAGTCCTGAACCACAGCATCAGCCTGTTGGCGTCAGAGTCATCTGTGGACACTGCTCTAATATATTCCTGGTAGGACACAGTGAAAATAAGGCAAAACATAAGGGAAGGTTAGCCAAAAGACAAGAAGAAAATGTCCAAAACATAATTGAAAGTTAGCCATAAAATAAAGTTGGCCAAACTGTATACATTAGCTGAAGCACAAGTCAGAGTCAACCAATACTTTAAAGTAGGGAAAAAATTAGCCACAAAGTTAACCCTGCCTTAACCCTAAGTACCTGCGGATGCATACACCAAACACACACTGACGTGTCCTCTCTGTGTCCTCTCTCTGCCTCAGTGGACAGAGTTTTCAGACCGGACTTTGGCTCGATGTCCCCACTGTAGGAAAGTGTGAGTGTTTTTCTCTGGCTTTGTTTAAATACAACAGTTACAACTGTGCGTCCAACACCATTCATCTTATCATTTTAATATGCAGCTCTTCTATTGGTCGACGGTACCCCAGGAGGAGGAGCCTGCTGTGTTTCCTGCTCTTCATGGTCCTGGCTGCCTCCACTGCAGGGCTGTTGGCAAGTGGACATCTCACACTGAAGAAACACATTTTTAATGCACTATAAGTAATGTGACTCTGTCTTTGTATACGTTAAGGTGGGAACCTGGAAACCTGCTCAGACGTCGAAAGGAATCTACGCCGCTTGGGTTTTCCTGATCTTCCTCTCTCTCCTCACTCTGATACGAACCCTCTACTGGAGGTGTCTGAAAATAAGTGAGCCCATAAACAACATCACATGAGGACAGGGGAGAGCAGGAGAAGGATTAACATTACATATGTTCAATGAGGAGAAGGATTGTAAGGACTGGACAGGAGGAGCAGACAGAAACCACACAGTTTGTCTTTGTTTTTCTTGAAACTGTTTTTTTCTCAAAAATCTCCAAACCGTTGATCATTTTCCCTCTGAAAGTCCTTGAAAGTATGCCCATATATTGTATGACAAGAAGGACGTTAACTTTGATGATTTAAAATGTGCGGCGTTCAGGATGTCATTTTTTTTTTAAATCTACTGAAAAATAACATGAGCTAATTTTTCTGTCTGGCATTAACAACGTCACTGGGTGATTTATTTATTTGTCAAAGCTTATGTGTAAATAAAGTGTAAATAAGACAAGTGGATGTTCAGAGATTGTACATAAGGATAATACTCTAATACATGATGCATTTGTACTGACCTCTGTCACCTGTAGGTGGCGCTCATGTATGTGGAACAGATTAAATAATGAATTAATTTTAACAAACCCTCTTCTACATGACTACATGGTTCTTTTTTCTGCCTGGAAAAGTTAGACCCGAGGTGGTTAAAAGTTAGCAACAATAATCGAAAGGTTGCCCATAAATTGCAGCTGGTTAGCATAAATAACTAAAAGTTAGTCCAGAAATGTTCAAGGATAACAAAAATGACTAATTGTTTACCCACAATTGTTTAAAGTTTGCAAACATTAACTAAACGGTAACCTAAAAATGGTTGCAGTTTAGCAAAGAGAATAACTTTGGTTATAAATAGTGTTGGTTCACTCAATAGACATCTCAACCTGTTGGTTTTATGTAGCTCCCGTTGATGACCAGAGGAAGGCAGCAGAAATTCCCCTACTGGTGTCTGTCTCCCTCCCTCTCTCTCTCTCTCTCTCTCTCTCTCTAACTGCTGTCTCAGAGGGACACTTTAGGGCGTGGAACATTTCTTCTCATTTGCCAGTCAGTCTCTGTGGGCCCTCTGTCCCACTAATGTCTTAAACCCATGGGAATCTCAGGCTCTCGTGCCCAGAAAATCACCTGTTTTCTGGAAACCCAGGGATTTCTGGAACGTGAATATTCCCTGGAGCTTTTTGTTTCAGGCAGCAGTGAATTATTGTGACCCAGCCTTTATGACCCTGTTATAAAAACAGTGAGTTATGCTGACATTTGCAGGAACAACTGGATAATTGACCAACAAGTCTGGAACAAGCTATTCTTTTATTGGTATGAAGACGTTAAAGAGCCCTGCGGCCTAATCCTGCTCTTATTCAGCGTTTCATCTTTTCAACAACTTAGTTTGGTCTTTGGATGTGGGAGCACAAAGTCCAAACTAGTAACATCTCAGGATTTTTGCAATGAAGGCCAAAAAGAAGACGCAGCGTTTTCACCAGGGGCGGACGGCGGACATGAGTAACCTTAGGATTTTGTCCACTAGTGGTGAAACTTGTAACTGGCCGACGGGTAAGAAGAGCGAACACCAAGCAAGCAGCAGTGAAACAGAGTCAGGACAAAGGTGAGGAACATCACAGTCTTCCTGTTTGCCAGAAAATCTATAACTAATGTCTAAGTTGTCCAGTTTTTATTAACTTACTCTTAAATTATCCTAGCTTTATATGTAGGTGTCATTTGCTTTACATTCAAAGATCCAACTAGTTTAACTTAGAGTCCACATTCTTCTCATTTGTAATCTTGCATTTCATGCCCAATCACTTAATTATGAGCAATGATTTAAGCTCCGCCCATTTCTTTCCCAACTATGATACAATTCAAAATTTTTGCCTGACATAATATGGAAATCTAAGAGTGACCACTCAAAAATATGACACTGGTCACCTTTAGCTTATCATTTAACGGCTAACGTGTCACATTGTGATCAGGTTAGCCAGAAAAGACAAAAACACACTTGCTGTTAGCTGTTAGCTAATGCTGCTCATGGTCATCATCAACAGCAACAATGACACTCCATGGTCGTGTGAGTGTGTGCCATGATTAACGTGGCAGTAATGGTTGCAGCTATTAGCATTGGCTAGCTTTAATGACCTTATAGAAAAAACCAGAAGATATCTGAGCTCAACACACGTGAGTGTGCTGTGCGTGTGTGTGTGTGTGTGTGTGTGTGTGTGTGTGTGTGTGGTGGGGGGCTCTCTTCTTTCTGCTTAATCCCAGGGGTTAAAAGTTTTTTCTCGGCCCTTGACTTTCACACATACCAGTGTCAGCTCAAAGCCTGTTGAGCACATGAGGCTTAGATGAGTGTGTGGTGCAGAGGGACTAAATGTTTGTGGTGGTTTCCTAATAGATAAAGCCTTACAGGTTTGATGGGTCAGATACACAAGGATTACAACATTAAACCCTGGAACTTTAAACTGGTACTAATCCAACCTCCTCTGTGCAGTTCTTCCCTACAGTAACATGTAACATGTTTTTTAACACAAGACAAAAATGGGTTTGGAACTAGTCACAGCACAGTACACTGAACAAAAGTCATTAAAGATATATATAGAATCAAAGGCAGGATGAAGTCAAGTCACATTTATTTATACAGCTCGATCCAAAACCAAATAAGCCGAGCCAAAGGTTTATTAAAACATGAAATAAGTAGAAGGAAGAGGTGAAGGTCAAGAACAATCCAATCTAATGAGATGGAAACAGACAGGGACACAATTTACAGGGACAGAAAATTCAAAGATCAGATATTCATTTTAAATCAGTGCCAAAGCCATTCCAGGAAAAGCCTGGATTAAACTATTAAGGCGACATCTAAATGGATCATGGATCCTGGATCTAAACCCAGATTGTACTGTAGGTTACCACAGGGCTGAAAACTGAGACTGTTCACACAGTATTATTGCTTTCCACCACTGGTGTTTTAGGGACTATGTGAAGAACTTTTTTAACTGTTACTTTTTTGTTATTTATTTTCTTGGCGCCTTCGAAGTCTCTGAGCACACATGAGAGTCAGTTGTGTTTCTCCTCCACCACCTGTCAACCATAAACACTGGAACACTACGTTCCTCACAATCTGGATGTTTCTTTAAGTTTATCCTCTGTCCTCTAGCTGAGGTCATTGGACTGCATTATCATTAAAGCTGGGGTAGGCGACACAGACTTAGAGTCGGTGGTCTTTAGCTCTGATGGCACATTTGAATGAAACTTAACAAAACAATTTCCCTTTATTTGTGTTGTGGTTTTAGTGAGCTGTCACCCTTTTGGCTAACTTAAACTAAACCTGAAACAAACCCTCAGACCTGTCACTGGGGCAGTGGTGGCTCAGTGGTTGAGGAAGTGGACTTGGCTCCTGCAGGTTCCAGGTTCTAGTCCACCAGCTGCCAAGTTCCCACTGAGGTGCTCTGTCATGGCTCCGTCTCCACTCACTGCTCCCTGGTTCTTAAAGCTGCCACTGTTCACTTTGGTGATGGGTTAAAAACAGAGGTCACATTTGGTTGTGTGCAGTGGTGAGCTGTGTCACAGTGACAAGGAGTTGACTTTCCTTCTTTCCTTCCTTCTGTCCTTGTGGGTTTTTTTCACTTGGTGTAAAGTTGAGAGCTACACCTTCTTAGTCCCCTCAAACTCTGAAAATAGCACATCTTGAAGCAATCTGACCACATCACGTGATAGGATGTCGCATGTCCAGATGGTGATGAAATCTGGTCTGGGATTCCGAGGTGTGATGATGCAACCTGACCTGTTTGCCTAGCCTTTAACACCACAGTTAAGTGACGCAATGTTCAGATCGTTTAACACTGTCTGAAAAGGTCAGTGAGGAGAACATTTTATCAACATTTATCTGCTCCATAGGCTGAAGAAGAAAGACACACCCAACATGTGACTGGAACACAGGTCCAGTTAGTTTTTGGGTTATTACATCTGCTGTCCAAAATGTGGACCAAACCAGTCTGGATGTAAGACCTTGACCAGAGTAAGATGTCTGGTCCAACACAGGGGCAGTAGAATATGGACCAAATCCTAGATACAAGATGTGGACCACATGATGTGGTCCAGTAGCCTTATTGGATTGGATGTACCTGACCTACATACAGTACTTATTACTAGATGTAGACAGAACAGCTGTCTGACATGGAGCAAATGGCATGTGGGCCACATTTCAAAGAATAAATTAGACTGTTGTTATGTAGACTTGGAAGACTGTGGCCCACAATACAAGACTAGTTCATTAAAAATACGTAATGCCTTTTAGGTCAGCCAAGGACATAGATTGACTTATAATGTGTGTGTGTGTGTGTGTGTGTTTGACAGCGGCTCTATGTTTGATCCACATGATTTATATCATATCATATGTATTTAAGCTTCATGCCGAGGTGAGGAAACCTCTATCAGGGCAGTGACAACAGCTGTCAATAAAATCTGGCTCTACTTTTTTTAGAATCACACACATGCGCATGCACGCACACACACATTAACACACACTGTGGCCAATCAGCTGTCGTGTAGTGCTCAGGGGTTAAGCCCTTGTCCTGACCACAGGATGAAAGAAGATAAAATGGTAATTTGCAGCAACAGCCCTTTAATATCTATCATCATCGTCTTAAGATCAAGGCGAGGAGGCAGTCATCTGTCATCTCTAATCAAAGTCTGGTCTCAGTTAATTTCTCATCAGTTTTCACCTTGGTCATGTTCGTGGCAGGAAGTTGTTTTTATAGTGAGTAAGTTACATGACATATCTGCTCATACTGTACAGATATGAAGCCACTGGAATTCCACTGGTCCTTTAACTGGTAATTAATTTGGTAATTGAGTGAATAATAAAAAATTAATAAAGCAAAAACAGAAATCATGCTTGTGGGGTCTTTTTTAAAACTCCATCAAAAACCAGTGAATAATCTTCTTCTTCTTCTTTGTTTTAATGTTTCAGCTTTACCTTGCCTCAGAGCCACGGCACCCTTGCCCCTTCTTCTACAACGCCTTCACCAAACCCCTTAATTTTAGGGAACCCAGGAAGCTCGCTGCTGATTGGACAGCATGCTGCATTTCTACACCTGGCTCAGCTGAAAGCCCAGGCTGTAGCTCTAACACAGATTAACAATGCTATCAGTGTTGGTTGTCAAGCTGCAAACTTGACATCCATCACTAACATATCTACTCCTTATGGAGCCTCCAAACCCCCCTCCCCAACAGCAGCAGCTATCAGCCTCCTTAACCGCCTGAAAATTGCAAACACCATGGCTCAGCCCCTCCATAAACTGTTACTTTTGGGTCACCAGAACTCCTCCCAAGGACAACATGGATTCTCCAGCGGGGTTCCTGATGTAGGTCCAGGCTCAGCAACTCCATGTCTTAGATCTGCGTGTGGCTATAGCCCATCTGCTGGTCCTTTTGCTACTCTGGCAACTGGCAATTCTGGAAGAATAATCCCACCGCTCATGGGTCATACTGGGGTCTCCAGACCTGAACAGAGTGGAGCCATAAGTCATCAAGGTATGAGCGTCCTCAAATACCAGCCTCAAGGCCAGAACACATGTCCTGCTGGCTCTCTGGGAGGATTGGCAGAAACAACCTGCCCAGAGTCTTTAACCTCAGTCTCTTCAGGTCTCAGATATCCTGATGTTGAAAGTTCTAGAAGCTCCTTGGTTGGGTTGCCAAAATATGAAAGATCAAGAGATGATGATTCTGAACGTAATTCATCCTCTGTTTCATGGAGCCATACGAGGAATGATGAAAAGAAAGATAATGTGGGAACTGGTGATGGTGAGAGTCCAGTTCCAGGTGAACCTAGGAGTCTTACTGAGACAAGTTACCCAACATTCACCCCTGAAGACGCTGTTAGAATTCTTTCACACTTTGGACTAGAAAAAGAGGACTTGGGGTTTCTTGTTTCTTATCCAGAGGATCAGTTAACGCCTGCCAACTTACCCTTTATCTTGCGTCATATCCAGATGCAGAAGAGAAAAACCCTTAGTACAACTGTCAGTGGTACGAGAGCCACCATGGCTGTTTCTCAGCCTCCTGAAGCTAATGACCATGGTCCCACCAGAGTTGAGGATGAAACAACCAAAAGTTCAAACAGTGATGGAAATGGCAGGAGATTGTTTGACACTTACAAGAACCATTCAAGTCAGGGCAGTGAAGAACTACTGAAGAACATTGGCTCCTCACATGATCAAAGCAACACTATTGAAAACACTGTGTGTAGTTTAAGGCCAAACTCTGCAATTTTACCAATCAACGATGAAGCCTGGAGATTGGAAGTACAACCAAACCAGACTTTTGTGACTGGCTCTACACCTTGGATTGTGCCACCAAAAGAAGTTACAGGGGGGGTCCTCATGGCTGAAGACTCTTCTACCTACCACCAGTACACTTCAAGGCAGAGCAGTGGAGCTTCTCTTAACAAAGATCCTTTTGGACCTTCAAACATTAGTCCTTTCACTGTGCCCAACAATGAAAAGGGAACTTTTCATGTTATACCTGTAAATGAAAAGTTGCCTTCTCTGAATAGAGAGAACGCAGATCAACATTTAAAATGGAAACATCAGTCATCCTTGCCTCTGCGGCACTGTGAGCACCATGGTCAGGGTAAAAATCAGTACAAAGGATCAATGTTACCTCCGATGCAAATCAGAAACCATCAGATACAGCAGCATCAAATACAGGAACCAGCCAAGAAGAACGCAGCTGTGAAAATGGGAAAGGCCCTGCGAATCCCTGTTGTGGCCGAAAAGCTCCCTCCCCCCTTAGCACCGATCACCAAAACTCCTGTGCCAAAAGTCCAGTGTTCGGTTGGTGAACCCGGTTCTGCTTCATTTAGGCCTGCTCAGAGTCGGAGTGGACAGAACGTACATAAGTGGTCATATGACTCCAAGGAGTCCATCGTTGGGCTGCATTGCAACAGGATAACACCCAGTGTGTTTCCACACACCTGTTCTCTGTGTTACATCAAATGCAGGACGTTGAAGGTGAGTCAGTCAACTTTGGTGATTTTAATTTGCCTGCCTGAGGCTGACACTGAACATTTCCGGAAAGGCACACTTTTGAAGGACCTTGAATAGTTCTTCAAAGACATTCCATGAGGATGATAAAAAACGTATTGACACATGATGTCAATGGTGTTTCACTTATATGTTGTATTTGTTCTGACAATAACAGGAATGGTTCGACCATCAGAAGACCATACTTCATGTTAAGAGACAATTTCAAATACAGTGAGTCCTGACTGCTGTTTGTCTTTGTCCAAACCAACCATGGGAACTGTATTATTTCTTTATGTAACGGGCGCGCATTGTCTTTGACAGTTTCTATCAGGTTGGATGCACGTCCGTTAACCCTTATACATTCTGCGTTGTGTTCTATGTTGCGCCGAATGAAGGAAGGACTCGGATCACGACCAGCTGTTGGTTGTTCTTTTAATGAAGGCAGGACGATGGATTTGTCTCTGTACAAATCAACAGAAAAACATACAAGGCTCTGTAACATGCAGTCTCCTCCACACAGCACACAGGTCTCAAGCTCCTGTTAGCGAATAAGCATACAGAAAACCCTGTAGACTAGCATGTGGAAACATGTCTACTTTAACTTGCAAAAAGTCAGTTTACAAGCTTTATATTCAATTGGCACATTAACTGCATGTTTACAACCTAAACCGAACATTTATACATACATAAAACAAGGTTTACATTGTCCAAAAACCGAAATAAATGTTTAAAAGTGACGAGCAAAATAGTAACATTACCTCCTCTCAGCTAGTCTGGCGCGAACTGAGAGAAGCACCCGGATGACGACGAGACCTGCGATCTCTTAAAGTGGCAGTACAGGTCTTAACACCCTGACCTGAATACAACATTTAGGCATAGAAATAGGCAATAAAACACATCTCAAACATATAGAAAGCAACATTCATCAGGATTTGGTGACATTTCAAATGTAAAAGTAAAGTTATAATTTCAACCTGGTTACATTTATAAAAGTTTAAATAATTACAATATATATATATATAAAAATATATAAAGTCAAGTTAAGATTTAAGAGAGCAGAAGAGAATGACAAAAAATGTAATGCTTGATGGTGAGCGTCAAAAACTTCAAAGTGTTATGGATCCCAAATCACCAAGTCAAATCTTCGCCTATGACTATTCTTGTCAAAAGCCACCAGTCTTAACCAAAAAAAGACCCTCTAAGTTTAATCACTAATTCCATTTTATAATTTATATTTTCTTAAGGTCAGGTTCTTCCTCCACACGTTCAAAGAGCCTCAACAGGTACAGCAGGGGAAGGGAGAAACGAAATGTTGAAGAGACACAGTACGCAATGAGAAGAACTTTTGAAAGAGGGTCATCACCAAGAAGGAACAACGGAAGGTGGTCATCACCATCTTTCCAAACTCCAAAGAGGAGAGTGGGCAGAGGAACATCAACATTTAACCAGTTGCAGACGAGGAACATAAATAGAAGGTTCTCACCCGTTCCACATTTGCCAAGATGGAGAAGAATGGATGGTCAAAGTTCTTCGAGTTACGAGCGATGGTCATCTGTGAAAAGCCATGGAAGACTATCATCATGCAATAGGAGCAATGAGAGAAGATCTTCTCCAAGAAGTTGTCACCGACAACATTCACCGGAAACCACCCACAAACGTAAACGATCAAGCTCTACCGAGAAAGTGTTAAAGGAGATACTGGATGATCCAGGTTTGAATTTAAAAAATGCAAAAAGTATTTTGCTGCCAAAACATTCTGTCCTGTGTCTGCTAGTTTACAGTATTTACAGTTACAGTAGTACTGTAACATAAATTCTCTATAAACTGTGTTTTTCTGACAGTGATACTTTGTTCTGTTTTCAGCTTCATTCAGAGAGTCCAATATGGATACTGTGGTAAAAACTATAGTTGCTGCACTAGGCAACAACAAATCTTCTTTGCCACCCTCTTCTGAAGACGAAGTTTCCAAACCATCTCACTCCACTAATTCTTCATTGTCAGTTGAAGCAATGGAAAAAGAGAAAAAGGAGAAGAAAGAGACGACAACATCATATATAATGTTTAACCAACCACAAACTGAGGCAAGTCAGTCCACAAAGATTAATCCTAAAGGGTTCCTGCTCTAAAATCTGCCACCTAAACTAAACTCATTTATTCTTTACAGGACATGGGACTGGAAAACCTTGTTAATGTTAAGACTTTGGATAATGTAGACATTTTAGATCACCACTTCTGGGTCCCAGAGGAAATTGTCAGGGAGGAGCCAAGGAAAGAGGCAGAACCATCCAAAGTTAATGCTGAAAGAAAAGAACCAGTGGAGCTTGTAGGAACAGAACCTTGTGGGACACAGCCTATGGAGGGAGAATGTTCTATTGAGGGCAAAGGAAAGAAACTGACAAACACCAAGGAGGAAGCAGAAACCAACAATAGTCAAGCACTAAATGAAAAACACCAGACCAGACAAGATGTTTGTACTCCTGAACATCCTAATGTTCCACCTCATAAAGAAGAAGCAGCTCCTGAATCTGCAGATGCAGACAAAAATACTTTTGTCAAAGTTTCATCAGAGCAGCAAGAACTAGAGCTCACTGTGCCAGCACTGGAGACCAAGACTGACGGTTTGAAAACTTCAACCACCACTGGAGAGTGTAGCTCAGAACTTGGTGCTAACTTCAGGTTTGTGTTGGTGAGATTTAATCTTGTGCATTGTAACGCAGGCTGTGATACACCTTATCTGCAGAACGTGGTTCAGTGCTGATTCTGATTTGGGAAAATGAAGAACGAACTGGTGTGTTTAAAGTTTGTTCCTTCTTCTGTCTTCTGGTTTTATTTCAGTTTGAAGATCCTAGAAAGGCACCTTGGAGAGGTCACCATGAGGCCTGACCCTGACACCCTCCATACTGAAGGAAATCCCTCAACTGATCCTTCAAGGTCACAACATTCTGATCATCTTTTCCAAAGTAATAAACAAACTGTTTCTTCAGCTTCCACCCAATGTGGGAAGCTTGAAGACTCTGTTTCAGCTGCGTCCAGCCCTAAAGTCCTCTCCACAAGTCTGGTTTCTTCATTGGAAAATCAAAAAGCACCTTTGATCATGGATAAAGATACATTCTTGGCCATCAAAGCAGCAATTTTCCAGTACAGACTTAACAAGGCCGACAGGAAAACAAAGGTAACATCTCCCCATATTTTCTACACACTTTAAACCAACTGTGGTAAAACACCAAACTCAATAATTAGCGGGTCCTAAGATTTTCCCCTCATATTCAAATTCATTCAACACACAGTCTGACTAGTCAGCAGTAGATAGAAATTAATAGTGACTTAAAAGACTAGTCAGCAGTAGATAGAAATTAATTTATGTGACTTTTTTAGGGTTTCATTGTTTTTAATATGAATTTCTGTTGTATCAACTTAGGGTCACGGTGTTTTCTCCGGGAATAACCCTTTTAAAAAGCTTGATGTTGAGGAAGTTGGGACGGAAAAAGAAACGCAACGCTCAATTGAGTCTCATGATACTAAACCGACCACATCCCTGACAGACTCTGAGGTCTTTGTTTCTTCATTTCCGTCTAACTTTTCTAAGCCCACTGAAGAACCTCTAAAGAGGACTTCAACCACAGGGCCTCCAAGACTCAGACTATCAGACTCATTTGAGACAGGACAGAGTCAACTCTTAGACAAAGTTGTGACTAGTAACAGCTGCCTGAATCTCTACTTTGAAAAGCACCCGGAGATATCTTCCCAAGAAGGAGATCATGTGATCAAGCACCAACCAATCACAGATCAAAATCATGGATCTACAGTAAAGCAACAATGTAAAGATGTTGATGTTCAACAAACACCTATTGACGTATGTGCAGTTAAAGACACAGGAAACAAGGAAGTTCACGAAGTAGATTGTCTTCAACTGGTTTCAAGGAACACAAGAAATGAAGTGAGGACAATTGAAGATAGAAGTGAGGGGTTCCGTGGCAGAGGGACCAAATTGGAACCATACAAGACCTTCAGAAACATCAGAAAACAGTGGGACCAAATCCAAAAGGACAAAGATTCCTTTAAGATATCTGATTCAGTCCAGGTAACAGACGCTGATGACCAAACTGTAATGTCTAAAGAAAGGACGAACCTCATAGACAACAAGGATTCTTTCGGTAAGATCTTTAATTGTGATATCAGACACCCCCCCAAAAAGAAGTACAAATCTTCTGAGACACAAGGCAGGACACTTAAAACAGGTGAAAGCCCAGGAGAGACAGTAGAGGTTTCTCAGGAGAGCCAGAAGAACAAAGAAACCTGTGAGGAGTTGTCATGTCAAATAATGGATTCTGGTGAAGAGGAAAAGGTTCAGTCCACTTCTGAAAGATTTGTTAGTGAAGAAGGAAAGACTAAGAAACCAATTGAAAGACTTGGTGGTGACAACAAGGCTTCTTCAGAAGTCGATGTTTCAGTGAGAGGTGTAAACGAGAACATCATCAGTACAGATTATCAGTCCACGGTAGAAAGAAAAGAAGGACCAAAACAGCAGTGTACAAAACTGAAGAAAGATGGACAAGATTCCCCTGAGATAGAGTTGGATGGAAATGAGATGTCTTCTTATTTTCCTGATTCTCTGGGTAATAAGGGGACAATAGATTACCAGCTAAGAGAGGACGACACAGGAATCCTCAAAGAAAATACATGTTTTAATCATTTTGTAGAATATTTGGAAGAGCAACAAGATGAAGATCAGGAAGCACCACTGAGGGCACATGTTTTCAGCAGAGAAACCAACGAAACAAGTCAAGAAGACTGGAATTTGATGACACTGAGTGAAAGGGAAAAAACCTCAGTATCTACTGGAGTCAATCACAAGGGAGTCAAAGGTGCAGACAGTAAGTATTAACCTAACAGGAAATTCAAATTTAAAACTGACTCTCAACCATACAAGATCGCATACAGAAAAATCAGTGATTTAGCTCTGAGTAACACAGCTGCTGCTAGTTTACCAAAAAACTGGCCACTGGTTTCTTAACTACTGTATTCTAAAGAGATAAAGATAATGGACTGCGTATGGGCTTTTGTGTGGGAGAACAAATGTTTTTTCACACATGACTATAAACATGAATACATCTGGTACTAATTACATTATGTCTTGATAGGTTTATTACATGCTGTTATAAGTTATTATAATACTAACCAAAATATTCATCATCTGATTTTTCCTCTTCTTATTCAGTATTTATGAAAAGAAGGACCGAGGCAGTTGGACCTCAGACAAAGAGATCTTTTCTGGATACTTGTATGAACATGCCTCCATTCAATCCCAGCATGCGCCTGGGTGAAAAGACACTCATTGCTTTGTGTAATAAAGTGTCAAATTGAATGTTTCTGTATATTATTCATGTCTTTGGTTTTGTCTATCTTCAGGTCAGGAGTTCATTGTTCCCAAATGTGGATATGTCTGTAACCTCTGCTGTGTTTTCTACCTGGATGAAAAAAGGGCTAAAGATCTGCACTGCAGCGGTCTCAGACACCATGACAACCTGCAGGTACCGCACCTGCAAGTCAAATCAAACACAAGCAACAAAAACAATAAAAAGAACTGCTGTTTTTGTGACATTCACTTTCTTGTCCTTCTTTTTAGAAGTACTACCAGAACAATGTGTGTGCAGAACATCAGGACACCCATCTCCACACTCTCCAAAATTCAACCACTGACCTGCCTTTTTAAAATCAGGATTTGAAAAGAAGATAATGAAAGTAAAATAAATCGTATTTGAAATATTATTATTTTAAATATCATTAATAATGTAAGCAGCGTTTTGTTAAAGCATGGTAACATGTTTGGTCTAATTTCTTTTTACATTTAACGTATTTTAATGTTGTTGTCACTGCAGTTTTTTTTTACTATTTTGTAACAGGTGTTTTCTTACACTAAAAACTGTTTTTTAAATTGTCACAGACTCATGATTGTAAACAATATATACATTTTACAGGTCATTCAATTTAACAATGAAGATTGAGTTTGAATTATAACAAACAAAAACCACATCACTGTTTGCACTCAATTTGTTTTTTTGAATAAAATGTATGAATTATATGTCATGTATCTTGGCACATTTATTTAATTAAATGTATGGTTCATTTTTTCTATAAATAGTTAAATTATTATGTAATCGTTTGTTATATTCTATTTAAATGTATTTCAATTAAAATGCAATGAAACAATTAGTTTGTTTGAGGTTTTACCAATCGAACGTACGTACCAATTTTACTTTTATTGTGAAAGCCTCGCAGTTGACACCGGTAGAGCCTGGCGGAGACTCATTAGCAGAGGAAGAAGACACCGGAAGTTCTACTGTGGTATTTCTTCTGCGTTTACTGTTGGGAAAAGAGTGAGCAAAAATATTTGAGACGTTCATCTTAACAAACCTGAGGTAACAACACCGTAAACAAAAATGTCACGAAGAAAAAGTCGACGTTGTTTTTATGTCATACTATGAGCAGCTGTGCTCATAGTCGTTCGGTAGTCCCACCGTTAACTTGGACCGTTTGTTAGCTTAGAACCTTTACACACGTTAGCTTTGCTTCTAGCAGTAGCGCTGCTTTGATTTTGTTTTTTAAAACATCTGTCCTACATTTACAGTTCTGAAAGAACCCCCTGACCCTTTTTTTATCGTTGCCAGAGCACAATTGGGTATGCGTGTATTTAAATGTTTATGTGTGATGCTAATAAAAAATAGCTGCAGTTGCTGTAAAGAGGGACTTTCTTATCCTGACAGTCAGTTGTCAGTTTCACCTGTTTTCACTTGGATTAAATCATAAGAATTATAACGCATGTAGTGATCAAAAGATTGTCATTTATGAATATATTCTGAATATATTGAGTTGAATATGGAAAGACATTGACATTTTTCTAGATTTTTGTTTTGCTGTGAACCTTTTCTCTCTCTGTATGTAGTTTTTTTTTGTGTGTGTTTATTTCCGTTTTCCAGCTAGTGATAACCCAAGCATGTAAAATAATTGACTGAATGGTTGTCCAAGAAGAGTCTCCAGTGACCACATTACCCAGAAGGACTGCCGTCCCCGAAGCTCAAATCCATTCCTTCTGAATAATCTTTTGTTTTGTTTGTTTTGTTTTTGGACATTTCCGCTTCACTTTGATGTGCAATTGTTGATTCTTGTTTCTGAAGGTGCTGCATATTCCTTATGATGCTCATGTGTGGAGGGCTCAAAGGGACCCTGCTTTTGATTAAAGAGTCAATCTAAGGACTGCATCCAGTCAGGACAACTTACTAACAGCTATGTTGTAACCTTGGTCGCCATCCTTCAACTGACCTGCTCCTTCTGGAAAACCAATCACCTTACTGCTAACTCTTCTTAACTTTCCAGGGACAATGTCCCATCATCTGCATAACTCTTTTGCTTCTGGAAACCAGAGTTCCACCCAGGATCGATATGGACTGGGAGAAATGGACCCACACAGTAAAACTTGCCATGTTGGACCAGGACTTAGTTCACCTGGGCCTCCGACTGTGGCATCTGCTAGAGTGATTCCAGCATTGGGTCAGTCGGTAGGCTATCGACCTGAACCAAATAGGACCTCAATAAATGATGATTTAGAACGGTCTGTGGACATTCACATTAGCAGAGCCCGAGAGGAAGTCAAATTTTGTGGTGATCCAGGCCGTCAGTCCACAGGTCAGAGGACTCACTTTTCAGGCACTCACAGGGATGAATATCAGTCCTCAAGATTGCATACATCATCCTATCCACAATCCTCATCTGCTGTCTCTCACAGTCACAAATACTGTAATGTTGAAAGCAAACAAAGCTCCATCGCCTTGCTGCCGAAATACAAAGGATCAGCCGATGACGATTCCTCCAGATTTTATCCTTCACCTTCTTCTTCGAGCTATACTCACAATAGTGATGGAACGTTCACTTCCTCCACAGAAGGACAACGTGATGTTGAGTCTCTTACGGGATTAAGAGAATATGAGAATACAAAACCTAAGTACACTTCCCAGTCTGCCATTAACATCCTTATGCGTTTTGGACTTGAGAAAGAGGACTTGGAGTATCTTATTTCATACCCAGAAGATCAGTTGACACCATCCAACCTACCATTCATCCTGCGCCAAATCCGCATGCAAAAGACAAGGATGTCTACATCTGCTGTTGAGTCAAAACCTTACCCAGAACCCCAACCAGTCAGAGGTTCAGAGATGAATTTTGCAGGACAGTTGCCTATTCCCAAGCCACCTCAAGTGATTGATTATGGACATACTGGCAAATATTTTGGAGGAACTGGTAGGACTGATAGCATTGGTGAAGATAGCTCAATGCTAGAGTCATATGAGCAGCGTATGACCAGTGGGAGTCAAGGACAAGTTCAAAAAGACAGTACAGAATGCAAAGTCAGTACCTTGGTTTCTCCATGGGACCACAGTAGCTCTGACACTAGGCTCAGCTCTCCATACCAATCGGTTGCTCCCTTGATTAATGATCCAAATGAACCAAGCAGTTCTGACACTCCTCCCAGTTCCTTGGACCGCTCTGTTGCTCCCACAAGTAACAAACCAACTAAACAATCATACAATCAACCGAGTCAAACTTCTCCGCTGACCTGTAACTCTTTCAACCTGCCACAGAAAGACCCTAACAGACAAGTTTTGATTACTGAACCCAGACCTACTTCTTTCAATGAACCAGGCACAGGGACAAAGCCCACATTGCCATTACTGAACAGAAAGGGTCTTATTCTTATTGATAAGACCTACTCCAAAGGGACCATGGATGACAGCAAAAGTCGGGGAGAAGAGGCAGCACTTACCAAGCATGTTAAAAAGGAACAGGAACAGAATAAAGATTTGAAGAAAAAAGAGGAGCAGAAACAAAAACCAGAGCAAAGAAAGGAATTTGAGAAGACTCAAAAGCAACAAGCACAGGCGCCAAAGCAGCCACAATCGCAGTTGGGGAATGCGTTGTGGTCAGCTTTTTTACCTTTGCAGCCTCCACCTGTCCTGCCGGGCTCTTCCGTTCAGTACCCGGTGCCATACTCCAAGCCTGATGCATCTCCTGTTGGTAATCTCCCTCCAAGCACAAGCTCCTGGAACCAGACTTCCCCGCCCAAGAATGCGGTAAAGTTGCCAGGCATTGAGATTCAACCGTCACTTGCCATGATGCATGACTATGCCGCAGCCACTCCGAAAGTCTTTCCGCATATTTGTTCTCTGTGTTTCAAAGAGTGCACGACACTGAAGGTGAGTGGAAGAACATGCTATTGGTTTATTTGTAGAATTATGTTACCGTTACAATCGATATTTGTCAAGAACACTATACATTTTTAAAACTTGTTTTTTTTTTTTTTTTTACCGAAACTCCCGATACTTCTGTTGGCAGCATCAAGCATATCAAACCAGAAATGATAATTTCTCAACTTCTTGAGGTCTCTTTGCTGTACAAGTAGTAGAGGTGAAATGTTGTAATATATCTTTTGGGAAGCATCTACTCTCTAAGTTGGCTCTTCATAGGCCAAAGTCTCCTGATAGGATTCGGCCTTTTCCAGGGCAGTGAACAAGAGAAGCTTTGTTTTCACCTTGTTTGAGCAGCAGCCTTCAAACTCCTGCCAACTGTTACTGGTCCATCATAGTCATTGACTGGTGATCACTCAGGTCTTTCCTTAGTTATAGGACACGGGTATTGTGTTGAGGACAACTGTGAACTCTAAAGGACTTTTTTTTGTGGTCAGTGTTGGCAGAGGTGTGATCTGCTGCGTTTCACCTTTACTGGTGGGATAATGTATATTCACTGGATGTGCCGTTATTTGATTTAGCCAAGGCTGAGTGTGGGAGGTGTGGTGGATGTAGGAGGGAGAGCATTGGAGTGGTGATTCAGGTGAGTGCAAGAGTTCTGTTAATCATGCTTCTCCTTGTTACGTAGGAGCTGGGGAGAGGAGTACGCACAGGCAGAGAGAGAGAGAGAGAGAGAGAGAGAGAGACCGCAGGACTGGAAGTAGAGTTTGGTAGGGAGCCTGGTGCACATTACATTGATAAATAAAGACAATTAATCGGTACACATGTCTTGTGTCAAGTCTTGTGACACAAGTCTTGTGTCAAGTGTGAACCCACATGTTACAATGACCCACCATGGCGGGTCAGCAGATCGCTGCACGAGCATGGATGATGGGAGAAGTCGTCGCCATGCACAGAGAGCAGGTTGAGCTGAGTGTGCAGATGTGGGCTCTGGCTCAGCAGTTAGCTCGTGCGGAGCCGGCAGCGCCTTCCCCAACTCCGGGCTTGTGTTGGCTGGGTTGTCACTTCAAATGATGACACCATACAACGATCCTCAGGCCTTCCTGTACATGGGTACCAATCAATTGTCTTTATTTATCAATGTAATGTGCACCAGGCTCCCTGCTGCGCTCTTACGTCCAGTCCTGTGTTCTCTGTTTCTGCCTGTATGCACTCCTCTGTCCCTCTTTCCTTCTTGGGAAGCTCCTATGGAAGGAGGGGCATAATTAACAGTATTATACTCACCTGCGCCTGATGCTGCACTTGCATCACCACTCTGATGCTCTCCCTCCTGCAGTCCAGCGCTAACCTCTGCCACGCCCTCACATGAGACGCTTTATTGGATCGGCACATACATGTGGAGACATTGACTCTAAAAGTATCTAATGGCCTTTAGAAGTGATGTTGGCCTAAATGGTTGTATCTGCTCTTTCTTTCCTTCCAAAAATGCCACTACCAGAACCTACTTCTCCAACAACTCTTAGGGAATGTGGAAGGGAATATGGGGGTCTACGTCCTAAGTGGGACCAACTAGGACTTGGTGACGTGTCTACAAGCAGTCAGCTGTTATCATACAAACCTTGTATTTTTGCACGTTCAAGAAAAATACTTTATTCTTCAGGTTGAGAGATGTTTTCGATTGTAGAGCTGTCTCTTTTTTACCTCCTTGTTTATCATTTCAGTCCAACGCTTTTTATATGTCCTGTAATAACATGAAGTCTGTGAATTATAAGAACTTCACTTCTGTGCAAGACTGAAAAAAACAACCTGAAGAATGTGCCGTGGATCCTGTATGAGTCTTGACATCTGATAAAAGTTATTGTGAAGCAAAAATAATTAAAATCACCTGCTTTAACAGAAGATCTAAAGGATCATGTTTCTGTTGTAGTTTTGTTTATATACAACTCTGAGGTTTGTTATAATGCTTAGTTCCTGTCCAATTTGTTGTTGGTTTGTCGCTGTTGTCTTACATTCTTGCGTCTCCAATTTGAACGAGAGGCACTGCACCCTATGGGGAAAGAACTAAGCATTTTCATCAAGCCTTATGGAAGAATAATAATTTTGTCAATTGATGTTAAAGCTGATTGTTGTCTGAGGTGATTTCTGTCCTAATGTTGTGTTTTGATCATTTTGACCTCCAGAGTTGGATCTCCCATCAGAACAGCAGCCTTCACCTGCAGTGCTGCAGACAACTCCGGACAAGGTCAGTCCTTTTGTTTTTCTTTCAAGTTTTTGAAACAATTAGAAATATCTGTGAATAATTATATTCATTTTTCATAGTTTTGTTAAAAGAGAAAGACCTGTACAACAGGATACGTTGTACAAGAGGTTGGTCTTTGAAGGACCCTCTGATGTAGCTGAGGTTAAGGTACTCTTTGTTAAATAGCAGCCATTTGCTAAAATCATTTAAGCTTTTTCCTCAATGTACACAGAGCACTCCATATTGACAGAAAAACACAGAATTGTTGATATTTTTGCAGATGTATTAAAAAAGAAAAACTGAAATATCACATGGTCATAAGTATTCAGACCCTTTGCTCAGTATTTAGTAGAAACACCCTTTGGAGCTAATACAGCCATGAGTCTTTTTGGGAGTGATGCAACAAGTTTTTCACACCTGGATTTGGGGATCCTCTGCCATTCTTCCTTGCAGATCCTCTCCAGTTCTGTCAGGTTGAATGGTGAATATTGATGGACAGCCAGTTTCAGGTCTCTCCAGAGATGCTCAATTGGGTTTAGGTCAGGGCTCTGGCTGGACCAGTCAAGAATGGTCACAGAGTTGTTCTGAAGCCACTCCTTGGTTATTTTAGCTGTGTGCTTAGGGTCATTGTCTTGTTGGAAAGTGGACCTTCGGCCCAGTCTGAGGTCCTGAGCACTTTGGAAGACGTTTTCTTCCAGGGTATCTCTGTACTTGGCCGCATTCATCTTTCCTTCAATTGCAACCAGTCGTCCTGTCCCTGCAGCTGAAAAACACCCCCAGAGCATGATGCTGCCACCACCATGTTTCACTGTTGGGATTGTATTGGCCAGGTGATGAGCAGTGCCTGGGTTTCTCCACACATTCTGCTTAGAATTAAGACTGAAAGGTTCTATCTTGGTCTCATCAGACCAGAGAATCCTATTTCTCATAGTCTGGGAGTCCTTCATGTGTTTCTTAGTAAACGTCATGCAGGCTTTCATGTGTCGTGCACTGAGGACAGGCTTCCGTCGGGCCACTCTGTAATAAAGCCCCGACTGGTGGAGGGCTGCAGTGATGGCTGTCTTTCTACAACTTTCTCCCATCTCCCCACTGCATCTCTGGAGCTCAGCCACCGTGATCTTTGGGTTCTTCTTTACCTCTCTCACCAAGGCTCACAGGCTCTTCTCCCCTGATTGCTCAGTTTGGCTGGACGGCCAGGTCTAGGAAGAGTTCTGGTCGTCCCAAACTTCTTCCATTTAAGGATTATGGAGGCCACTGTGCTCTTAGGAACCTTAAGTGCTGTAGAAATTCTTTTGTAACCATGGCCAGATCTGTGTCTTGCCACAATTCTGAGCTCTTCAGGCACTTCCGTTGACCTCATGATTCTCATTTGCTCTGACATGCACTGTGGGCTGTAAGGTCTTATATAGACATATAGATATAGATATATGGCTATATATATATAGATATAGATATATGGCTTTCCTAATCAAGTCCAATCAGTATATTTAAACACAATTAGACTCTAATGGAGTAGAACCATCTCATGGATGATCTGAAGAAATGGACAGTACCTGAATTAAATATCACAGCAAAGGGTCTAAATACGTATGACCATGTGATATTTCAGTTTTTCTTTTTTAATACATCTGCAAACATGTCAACAATTCTGTTTTTCTGTCAATATGTGGTGCTGTGTGTACATTAATGAGGAAAAAAAATGAACTTAAATGATTTAAGCAAATGGCTGCAAATAAAACAAAGAGTGAAAACTTTAAGGGTGTCTGAATACTTTATGTACCCACTGTATACACATTGTGATACTATCTGTCTTTCATCATCTGTTCCTATGTTTTATTTGTATGCTGTTTGATTTCTTTTTTCACAGATACCCACAGTGGAATGGAGAAGTTCTTGTTAAATCCAGGTGCTTTTAACTTTACTTATTTATAAAGTACTTTTCATGCAATGGATGTAGCACAAAGTGCTGTACAGATAATGTGCTGCAGTGCTGTATGCTTCTGATCTTTAAACAAGTAGTAGCTGAGCTGTTTTAGATACACTTAATCATATGTGTTCCTTTTGAACTACAATTTCATTGTTTCATTGTTTGTTTGTTTTTTCCTGTTCTCTAGCTCTTTGAGTAAAGATACGGAGTCCTCTTCTTCACCATCTGCTAAGACTTCCCAAAAGCTCCATGGAAGATTTTCTTTATCATGTAAGACTTCCCAAAAGCAACATGGAAGCCTTTCTTCATCATCTGCTAAGACTTCCCAAAAGCACCATGGAAGCCGCTCCCATTCCCGTTCTGCCAGCCCAAATAGACACCAAGGTTCAAAGAATAGAAAACCGAAACGTAGCCGATCCAGATCTCGCAACCCCAGATACTCTCGGTCTGTAACAGAAACATTCTAAGTTGGTAATGATGTGTCTTTGTTATGTTATCATTTGCAGAACTAATTTTGCAAAACAATTTTCTACTGCACTTTAGTTCCTCGTCCCATTCCCCACAATACAGCCGATACCGGTCACGTTCAAGGAGCCAAGAAAGGGGGAGAAGGTGGAGGAGGAGGAGCAGTAGGACAAGAAGTAGTGAAGAGAGAGAGTCATCTCCCAAACGAAGATGTGAAAGACGTTCTTCGTCCAGGAGGAGAGAGGACAGGCGCTCCTCTCCAGAATGGAGAAGCCACAGGCAATTGCAACCAGGAAGTAGCAGCAATAGATGGTTGTCTCCACAAAGGAGCCGTGAACGACGCTCACCCCCGAGAAGGAGTGAAACCGGGCGCTCCCCGGTGAGCAGAGATGACAGGAAAGTTTCCCCAAGGCACAGTCGTGACAGACTATCTTTGAGAGAAATGTCTCCTGAAAGGCAGAAATCGAGGAGCGCAGAGAGGCTGGTGAAGAAACTCCTTAAAAGAACAGGTCTGGAATTGTGAAGTCAAAGCTACAAAATATCGGTCATTTCATGTTGGTCATTTTTTAAATAGTTTTTCATTTTGTGCTACTAGCTGGCCCGTCTCAATGTGAGGCTGATCTGGAAGCTGTGGTCAAGACTCTTCTTGCAGAAATCACCAAGACAAAGTCTTCATCTACAGCAGAGATGGGAAGTAAACACACAATAAGCTCGTCCTGTGTCAGCAGCAGGAGCACAGACTTTGCATCTTCCTCCACATCAGTTCCTTCCTCTTTCACTTCTGCCACCTCCTCAGCAGCAAAGAAAACAGCAACTACAACAAAGAGCAGTTTGCTGAAAGGCAGGGTGAGTGTGTGGTTCGAACAAACTCAGGTGAAAACTGTTCTGAGAGGTTTGTAGCTAATTCAAAAAAATGGATCGCTTAACTGATACTGATCACTTAACAGTCCACGTTAGGGAATGAGCACCACTAGAGTTTGACTTCATCACTCAGCAGCTCATGACCTTAGTCCAAAAAGAATAATCTCACCCAAAGCTCTTGTTTAGCTGTGATGGTCTGCTCACATAACTGACCCCACTGTGGCACAACTCCTCCAACCTACAGTATATCTCCTCATTACTTCTTGCTCATGTCCTGCAGTCATCTAAATGTGTCAGCTGAGCTCCTAGTTGATGACTCAACACTTCACTGTGGAGACATCTGATTCAACTACTAATGTCTACATGGGGGTGGTCACTGGAGCTGAACATAAAATGTCTTTGTTTTCATGATATGAGTCTCAGCAAAACTTGTGTTAATTAAATAAAATTAAAATGACATGCGTTTTATAAGGAATCCGTCCTTCTGAAGAATATCACGTGCTCACTACAGTTGCACAGTCCAAGTAAGCTGAGCTGGGACACTACAGTCTACATCGTCTACATCCCTTACTGTTATTGCTCATTTTGTCAACAGTTCTTTTAGTTACTTCCTTGTCCCATCCCATGGTAGGACCCATATTAAAAGTCCTCCTTCTGGGATGTACCTCCTGGAACCCGTAGTGGAAGTGCTCAAACTTCTTTTTGTGATCCTGGAAACCCAAGTTTGTGGCTGATTTTTATTCCCATGTCTTCAGGTGGACAAGTCGTCGCCTGTCTCTGCTCCAACCATGGTAAGATTGGAGGGAATCACCAGTAGCCTGTCCCGCACTGACGTGATTGCTGCTCTGGAATGTTTTGGACGAATTAAGTCAATCATTCTGAGCCGCAAAAAAGAACAGGTGAGTTGGGTTTGTGCCCTGCCTCCTGCTCGATGATGTCATTGGGAACAACAAGGCTGCTGACACCCAATCATGCTTCACTGCAGATCCTTGGTTTCTTTGCTATAATAGTAATAGACCCAGCAACACTGAAGAACTGACTGTTCCCCAGTCTCCTGCATAGAACATCAAAATTCATTGTATCTGGAAAAAACAGAAGTAGCAATGGATGTTTAACTGATTATGGACTAATTATGGGATTTTATTGGTTGACAGCATATCCCTTCATAGTTTCTATGAAATAATGAAATTCATATGGTCTTGTTTATGTTAAGGAATTTTGTGTTTCTGTTTCAAAATGTGTGATTTTGAAAAATGTCAAATAAGACATGTACATCCACAAACAAATACATTTTAACGGCATCTTAAATCTGCACAGAACCGATAGAACTTTTCAACAACAGACATGGTTTAATGCTGTGGCTGTGGTAGTTTCATATTTAAGACATATTTTAGACATGTTGCTCAGGTAAGGTTTTTAGCTCATATGCCAATAATGCTTAGCAGCACAGCAGTACAATGTCAGGCAGTGACTGTCTGCTCAGTGTAGAAACCTCGCTCAATTTATCAGCTTGAATTACATTATCAGATTCAATTAAAGTAACACGTGATTGGCTAATAACAAGCACCCAGAAACAAACATTTTTCTGACCCAAGTCAATGTCTTTGCTTCAGGCCCTTGTTTGCTTTGAGAAAGAAGAGGACGCAAAGAAAGTCAAGAGCATCAAGAGCATAGAGGTTAAAGGAACCTATGTGACCGTCATGAGAAAGAAGGTAAGTAATTAACTCAGTTGTTTAACTGGGTATTTTTTGTCAGTGTCTAAAAATTAGTGTCTAAAATTTAGACTTTCATTTGCAGGATACTGTCGTGAAAAAGACTCCAGTAAAGTAAGAAATTATTAGTTTATTTTTGTTCAGCTGCCCTTTTATGTCACTGTGTGTTTCAAAACACTCAATGTTTTTTTTTTTTTTTTTCAGGAAAACAGCTACACCAAATGAATTCACACCCCGCAAAACAAAAAATACTGTCAGAAAAACAGAAACATCTGTGTCAAAGGGCCTGAAAAAATCTTTACACTCTCAGGTCATGAAGAGCACCCAAGGCACAGATGTGAAAAAGTCATCTCTTTCCACTCCAGTCAAAACAGCCACTAAAGTGTCAGTTAAAGGTAAAGGCTCACCAGGTGTCAGCAGAGCCAAAGTCTTAGTTTCCAAAGCAAAACACGTCTCGAAACATTCTAAAAAGGTTGCTAGAAAGAGTAAATCTGTCAGTCAGTACAATCAAGAAGATGTTGCTGCTTCAATACAAGTCACAGTTGCAGAACCAAATAATATCCAAGATGACAAGAGAGCAAAAGTCAACATGGAAAGAAACTGGGCTGTACAAGAACCAGATGCACCTAAGGAGAGTCCCATCTTGGTGGAGAATTTGGCAGAACCTACAAATGTGTCCACGACCACAGTAGAATGTCCTGAGGCAGTTCATTTAGAAGACTTGCCTACTGAAGAAATGTTTGTCTTAGAGCAGCCAGAATTACAAGAGACACAAGAAGCAGAACCAACCCAAGTGGGACCTGAAGTCAAAGAGGCACAAGATACAGAACCGGCAGAGACCGAGGAAACCATCCCTGTAATGTCAGAAGAGCTGATGGAAACTGGAAGTAGTACTCAAGAGGAAGGAGAGATATTGAGCAATACAGAATCAGAAGAACCACCAACAGAAACTGGAACAGACATCCTCAAACCTGAGGCTGACAGCTGTACACCTCAGGAGACTAAAGCTCCTCCTGAACCACAGGCAGACCCAAGTCCAGAACCAAAACAAGAACTGGAGACTAAGGAAGAACCCTGTCAATTTTCAGTCTTAGCTGATGTTCTAGAGAAGAAAGGTGGGTCAGGGTCCCACATGATCAGCCTTGAAGGACTGTCCAAGAGTCGTTGGCTCATTTAAACTTTAACTTTTTGTCCAAAGATTCTTCGTCTCCCATGAAGAACCAGAAGGGTCCAAAGATGGCCCCAGTTGTCTTTAAAGCCGGTGAATCTCTCAAGGGAGCAGCCAGCACTGCAGTGAGCAGACAGAAAGCACAGACAGCTGCTGTACCTTCACGGCTGACGGTTTTGGACATGGATCAAATATCGTTCGGGAAAAAGAAATTCGGTGAAGAAACCTTTTGATTATTATTCTGTTTTCTCTACCTTTTGATATTTACCTTAATGTTGTCTTTTCTTGACAGCGACCTACGCTAAGAAAAAGGTGCTTTCACAAAAGGTAGGTTTGCTATTTCCTGACATAAATGTTTGGTTGCAAAGATTTTAATTGTGCAAAACTTTGAAGATATTAGCAACAGTATCTTATTGTCCACAGAACAGCAGTGACCACAAATGGAAGTAGGGTCAGAAAAAAATAGGGAGTAGAGAACATTAGAGCAAGGATTGTGGGGAGAGAGAGGGAAAACGGAGACAGTGATGAAAGGTGGAGGTGTTTATGTAATGATAGGAAATCAGATTCTAGAGTTTGATATCTTCATTTGTCTCTAGAGGAGAGACACCAAAACCCTGCTAAAGCCAGTCTGTTAGTCAGGCCTCCTAGATTTAAGTTCACCTGGTAGAACCTACTCAAATGACTCAACATCAGCCCTTGATCAATATGACAAACAGAACCAGAGTAAGCTGTTGTCTACGATGAAGGATGCACAGGAACCTTCTCTCTTTCTTTTTCATTCAGTTTTTAAAACGTAATGACACCATGATGTTGATCAAAAATCTGCCCGAGGAAGACGACTACACAGAGGAAGAACTGTCCGAGCTTCTCAGATCTGCAGGATTCGACTACAGAGACGACAACTTATACGTGATCCCCCGGAGTTGTCTGGTGAGTCTGAGCTGTCATCTTGGAAAGGATAAAAGTGAATTCAGACAAAAATAATAATCAATTTTGTGTTACCAGTGTATAAAAGTTTTGTAAATAAATAAAAATGTCTAAACTAGCTAAGGATGACCAAAACATATAGTTTGATAACAAATGGTTGACCCTAAATAATATATAAAAATTAACCAAGAAAATTAAGAATTAACAACAAGAAAAACATTAAAATATGAAAGTGAGACGACATAAGTCTACATTTTTCTGTTGACACTTTTTCTTGTTTTTAAAGGCTTTTTGTTTCCTTTCGTCCCTGGAGACAGTTCAGAAACTGATCGCAGGCAGACCAATCTACTTCAAAAACCTCAGACTCCACCTCTTCGTGCCCTGCATTGGTTACACTATGACACCAGTGAGCCCTCCTCCTGCTCTTGCTGTTTCGTTATTCATTTTTATGTCCAGTTTATTAAGACCCGTCTTCTTTGATGTTTCTGTTTCAGTATCGTTTGTATAAATTCCTGCTCAAGAGAATGACTGTAAGTCACACACACACAAACACACACTCGTTTGTTCATCCTCTCTTAAGTTGAAGACCCATCCCAGCATTTGGTGTAGAACAGTTCATGAATTATCTTCCTGTTGTGGAATCAGGGCAAAGCCTCACACCCAGCTGGAACCATCTATGTGAAGAACATTTCCAGCGTTCAGACTGAAGCGCTAATTGAGATTTTGAGAAAGATGGAAAAAGCGGCTATGCTCATGCCTTTCCTCAACAAGGTACACACGAACACACACACAAAATGTTCAATTTTTAATAATTCATATTATATTTTAATAACTACACTGCTCTCAGTCATGTCATGTTAATAAACTTCTGTTTAGGCCACAGCATCCCTTATTACATATAACACTAATATTAAATCCAATAAGCATTCAAGTTTGTACAGCCTACATTTGGAAAACATGAATTAACATGATTATTTGGTCAAAATTCTCCCTTGCCTGATAATTGTGTAACCTCTGTTTCATCTGCCCTTGTGCTTGTGTTTCAGATGTTTGTGGAGTTTCTAACACCCCATGATGCTGATCTGCTGGGAGTCTGTTTCAGCCTGATAAATCCAGCATATAGTTGTACTATGTACCGTATGTTAATCCCTCAAGTGGGACCCAGAGTTCTGCGTAAGTCTTGGTGTGAGAAGAATGAAATTGTAGCCCAGTACAATTGCTCAGTTGAACTGGCGTCAACGTCATTTGCTTATTCTGATACTCATTCTACTGTTGTATTTATAAGGTCAGTTCAACAGAGCACTAAACATAATCCAAGGTGTAACCAAAAACAGTCTCAACTGAATTTTGAGTAGTTGGTATAAAAACAACCACAATAACCAAACATCTGGAGTTGATGCAGTGCAACCCTTTTTTTTTATAGATGCGAAATATATTCCGAAACAGCTTATCAGCACTTTCACTAAAGGAGTGGATTTTAAGGAACCCACCATAAACCCACAGGGCAGTTCTCCACCATTCTGGCTCAGCATTAACACGCGGCCCTACATCTTTCCCACCATGTCCAGTTGGTTCCAAATCCCAAGTAAGAGCCATTCACTTGAAACCTTCCCAGGTTTTGAAACACTGGTGACGAAAATTCTTGTCTCATTTTGTAGGAATCATGACGTACAAATTTGATGGTGACGCCAGGGTGAGAACTACACACTTTTCTTCTCCCATTCTCTTCTTCCTGTTCCTCTTTATCTATAGTTTCTGTCTTAAAAACATGACATTCTACAGGTGGCCAGAGACCAATGCTTCAGGCCCACCATCATGTTGACAGGCTTACCTGAGGGACGCTACAGACAGGAAGACGTGGCCCGGCTGTTCTGGTCCTGCTTCCCCAAACGGAACCTTCAGACTTTGTACTACAGCGTGTTGGTTCTGATTCTACAGAGGAGGGTGAGGAGAACAACGAGCCTCAGGCTTTATCTTTAAAAATTCACAGTTAAAAAAAATATGCCTGCTAGGGTTAGCTTATTGTTGCGAAATATAGCTAAATGGCTAATAGTTTGGAAGTTTAAAGCACATAGTCAGACAACATGAAACACACACGTAGCTATAGGTTATAATGAAACAAAAAAAGCTAAAAGGTGACGTACTTAGAGCAAATCTAGTTATTGTCTTGTCTGTGTAGGTTTTCAGTCATCCAAGTCATCTTATCCAAAAACAGTTACATGTTTGGCAACTGGACGGAGTAGGTTTCTTGAAGATGTTTCACCTCTCATCCAAGAAATGAAGAAGCCTCTTGGATGAGAGATGAAACTTCTTCAAAAGAAAGAGCCTACTTTGTCCAGTTGCCCTTGATGTAACTATTTTTGGATAGTTATTGTCTTTCAGTGTACAGCATCGTTAGCTACTTGATAGTGAAAGGAGAGCAAGGGCTGTTAACAGTATAGAAGAGGACAGAAACCTCACAAATAAGCAGAATGAAGTGCAACATATAAAATCAATTAGCTAGATATACTGTAGATATAGACACATATGCCAAATTAGTGAATAGAATGCTGATTTTTGATTCTCTAATCTTCCAGGCCTTCATCCATTTTCCTGACTGGATGTCCTGCCTCATTTTCTTTGAGCAACACAACAATAAAAGACTGACTTTGTGTGGATCCGCACTCACACCGCACTTTGTCATGGAGCCCATGGTTACAGAATATACTGAGGTGAAACTCAGTGTGATCTTTGTCACTTTTTTTGTTTGGTTTGAAGAAAACAAGATAATCATGGAAAAGGTTTTAGGGTTAAAAATTTTGAGTTTGAAAAGCCATTATGAGTTTTGACCACATCTATGTTGTCTTCTGTTTTTAGGAGCGCATGTTCATCCAGCTGCTGAAACTCAGCAACTTGGTAAGAATCTCATGTCACTATCCTACAGTCAGAGGCTTTTTGTCTGTCTTTTAAGCTAATTGTTTTTGTTTCAGCGAACCCCTCATCCAGAGTCTCTGGAGGAACGCCTCCTGTGCGTGGAAATTGCTGAGGCAACAGTCAACATCGTCACGGTGGTCATGGAGGGGGTGGCCTCCATTGCTCAATTTGTGAGGTTCCTGCCGCTTGCCAACAGGGTATGATCAATAACTACATGTGTATATATTTTTACATTTCTACACCAAAGCCCATAGAGAAAATCATTGATTTTAGCACAGGCACACGTGGAACTGTTGGAGCACTGCTGCCTTCCATGGTCAGTTTGTTTCAATGAGGGGAACCAGAACAAAGATGTTTAATACTAAATTTAAATCACATTTTAACTGACTGTGGAGACGGCAGTGAATCAACGAATGCTGTGTCTTGGTGACATACAAAGAAGGATTTTCTCTACGGACCTTGGTATGACAGAAGAAGTCATTTAAGGCACATCATAGAAGTTTATTTAATTTTTTCTCTGTCTGGTTTCTTGGTCTTCAGATTTGTGTGGAGATGGCTCAGTCCAGTGGAGTCATTAAAGTGGTGGAGATGTACAAAACATATAAACCACAATCTGAATTCAAACTCAACACCTGGTACGTGTGACCATTATAGAGAATTTTTCAAGTCGCCTGAAGTCCTTTCCACTTTGACTTTAATCTTCTGCTCCACAGGAATAAAGTGATTCGCATTGAATGGTGAGTATTTGACTTTTTAAAACTCCACCTCAGAGCCAATGTCTCTGGTAATGACACAGAACCTCATTTATCTAATCTTGTTTTGTAAATGTCAGTATGAAGAGCCTAAAACAGCGTCTGCACGATGCTGGTGAAACCGCGATAGACCTGAACCCCAAAGCCCCCAGCAGCATTGGTAAGTCTAGAGTCCTTCACTTGACCCACGTCACCTGGCATCAGCTATGCTTCTGTCAAACCACCACGTCGTTCATGTGTCGCAGCAGGAGCCGGGTCTACCTCCAACCAAACCACTAGCTCCACCGTTGATGTTTCACCGAAAGGAGCTGAAAAACTAGAGGGCGCTGAGAGACCAGCTACAGGTCTGACGGTCCCGCCTGAAAAGGTGAGTTTAGACGTAGAAATTGCCGCCATCTGTTGACATCGTAGCTCACTGTCAAGATGACACTTAAAAACAACATCTTTTGCTTTGTTCAGTTACTCCACTGAAGTGTTTTGTACTCTGCATGTGCAGTTGATGCATATGAGGGAGTTGAGGGAAACAATGACTTTTTGTCATTTACAGTAGGATAACAGTGATCAGATCAGAGAACACAGTTTTAAGGTTGTATTTTGCTTTGAGAATGTAAGTATTCTGATCCAGTATCCTAATTTAATTATCTCACACAAATTCTGGAGTTGCGAAGTCTTCTGCTTGCAAAAGCATGGCAAAGATACTTTATTTGTAACTCAGGTTAGTTCTATTTGTTCTGAAAAGATTCTTGACTCTGTGACAGTGACTCAGTGAAACCTCCTCTGTTTTTGATCCAGGTTCAAGGCTTGGCAGCTTCAAATGTGGTCCACTTTGATGAACAAAGTTTTAACATAGATGACTTTATAACTGTGGATGAAGTCGGGGAGGATGCTGGAGAGCACAAACATCGTGTCCAGTCAGCCAGACAGATCACGAAAAGAAAAAATCAGCAGGAGTGTGAAGCCATTTATAAAAATGAAATATCAACAAGGTCAATGCAAACCTCTAAGAACCTGGACTCACCGTCATCACCTTCACCTTCCAAGTTTCCTGAAGACTACAGGAAGAGAAGCCCATCTCCGAGCTCCATCTCTGCTTCACCCAAAAAGTCAAGGCTCTCTAGCAAGTCATTAATTTCACCTTCTTCCTCTTTGCCCCAAGGAAAATCAAAAGCACAGATTACTTCTTTCTTCAGTTCTGATTCCAGGCCTTCCTCTGTGGCGAAGTCTGAGAGTGCAGTGATAAAGTCTGATCACACAGTGTTAGCTGAGGGCAATGCTGAAAAATCTGTTAAGTCCGAGAAAGAAATAGAAACCTTATCAGAGATGAGTCCACCTGCACAGGAATCAGAAATGAATCAGGACCAGAATCATTTAGGGACAGGTTTCAAGGATAGAACAGTCCACGACCTGGAGGAGAGGAAAGATTCTTTGAAAGAAATTACCGAAGAGGAGGAAGACAATTACCAGATCCTAGATTCTTTTGAAGAGCAGACAGAAAACGAGGTTAATAAAAGGAGTCAGTCAGGAAACTCACCTGACAACCTGTTTCCTGAACATGGGGACATTTTCCATGTTTTGGACAGTGTTGGTGATGATGGTACAGAATTCTGCACACAGACGACTGAAGAGGGGCCAAAATGTTTGACTAAAGACCTTTTAAAAGACACTGATACTTCAGGTGAGAAAGAGTCTGACAAAATTTGGATCCAAGCAAACGACCAATCTGATGAAAAACCTGCAAATAACAAAACTGAGGCAAACAAAGATCTATCCCAAGAGAAAGAAGATTTACATTTTAAACTAAATCAGAGTGGGGCAAAAGAAGAGGAAGAAGAAACGATTCAAGGCAAAGCTATGAATACAAAAATCTCCAATGATGCAGAAAACCCTGATGAGCAAATGGCAGAGGTTCAAGCATCTGAACAGCAACAGTCTGAAATTCTACCTCCAAAAGAAGACCAGTCTGTAATGGTTGAACCTAAAAGCCAAAATGACCAAGAGGTTATCAAGCAAACAGAAGAGGAAGTTGTATATCAGGTTGTTGATTCCATTAAAGATCAGCTTGATGTTTCTCCGACAGAGCCTGACAACAAAAGAAGTAGAGGTGAGAGGGAATTCACCCACAACAAAGAAGAGAGGCCATCAAATCACTGTGGGCAGAGGACCACAACAACAGCTGCTGAAAAAAAGGAGTCAGATAAACCCACAAGGACTGAAGAGCTCACTGAGGACATGGAGTTTGAAGTCTTAGATTCTGTCGAAGATGAACCTACTGTAGCAGCATCCACATATGAAAGGTCTGGAAGAAGGAGCCCTAGAGGAAAGAAAGAAGATCCCACAAAAGCACCAAAAAAACCTGAGGTGGATGATGAGGTGGTCGCTGTAAGAACTAGATCTACATCAAGAAGAAGAGATGGGTCCACAAGGAAAGATAGTTTGACTGTTGGGTCAAACAAAGAGGACACACCGTCAAGAAGAACACACAACCCTGCCAGGAAAATTCTGAGAACACAAGAAGAAGCTTCAGAGGAGAGCAGATCAATGAATAAGGTTGCCATCATTGTGAAGGAAGATCCTGAGGAAGAAGCAACCTATGAAATAGTGGACTCTGTAGATGATAAAGATGACCAACCATCAAAAGGAAAGAAAAGAAAGCCCAACAGAAAGGAAGAACAGCATTCTAAAGAGAGCTCAACAATGAAGAAGACCGAGCTCATTGTGAGGGAAGAAGATACCTATGAAATATTAGATTCTCTGGAGGTTATGAAGGAAGACCATCCAGTTACAAGAAGAAAACGTGGAAGACCAAAAAAGCAGGAGAAACCAGCTAAAAAAGAACCTGAACAACGTATAGAGTGTGAAAAGGAGGCAGATGGAAAAGAGGAGGTGTCCTGTCAGATAAATTCTTTGGAGGATCAGATGGTAGATGGTCATCCTAATATGGAACAGTCAAAGAGCTTGAGAAAGACCAGAGCATCTAAAAACAACAAGGCATCAACAGAAGAAAGAACACCTCGGACAAGGTCACGCAAAAGCAGGTCCAATGAGGAGCCGCTGTATCAAATAGTAGATTCTGTAGAAGACGAACAGATTCAGGAGGAGGTGACGAAAACAGAAGTGTCCAAAGAACCAGGTGAGTCAAAACAGGACACAACAAGTGTCAGCACTGCTGGGGAAAATAGGAACAAGAAGGCCGAGGACAATATTGATCACCAGCCTGAAGACATAGAGACTGAAAGATTAGGTGGAAGAACAACACTGGAAAATGACAGCAAAACAGAACGATCAGAGAATGAGGGCGAAGCTGTGACTGAAACTGTAGACTTCTTGGAAGACTATCAAGTGAAGGAGCAGCTATTGACCCAAGAAGTTTCCAAAGATACTAAAGGAGAAACTTCTTGTACCATCTTAGTTGCGGAAAAGACTGAAGTGGTGGTCAAAGTTTTGGATGGTGGTGGTGATGCTTTGTCAGCTGAAGGCCCAACAGCTTCTACAAACGCTCTTGTCAACTTGGATGAAGTGAGCGATGAGGAGGAGGATTTCCCAGATGATGTGGAGGAGGAGGAAGAATCGAGGAAGAGGCACACAAGGAGACTCTCCAAGAATTCAGAATGTACCTCAAGGAAAAAGCAGAGTGGCATCAAGGGTACAAGTGACTCACCGAGTCTCATAGAAGAAAAACTAATGTGTGACATCACTGCTGATAAGAAATCTGTCAAAGATTTAGAGGAGGTAAGCGATGCTTCGTCTGTTACAGAAGAGTCTTCGGAAACCCAAAGAGAAGCCTCAACACCGTTCATGGAGAAGAACCAAGAGTCATCCAAGAAGAATGACTCTGCCCCTGTGAGGGTCACTTTGGTGAACCTGGATCAGGTCAGCGATGAGGAGGAGGACTTTCCTGATGATACAGCTATGGAAGAAGAAGTGAGGAAGAAACAAGCTGCTGTGAAGGATCAAAGACTTTCAAAGCAGAAGGCGATGGAACAAGAAGTGCCCACAACTAGGGAGAGAAGCAACAGGGATCGAAGGAGTCGGAGCAGCAGTAGAGGCGGAGAGAGCAGTGAGGAAGGAAAGAGAAGGGTGAAGGAGAGGTCAAGAGAGGAGGTGGACATCAAGGAGCTAGTGACTTTGGATGAAGTAGGTGGAGATGAAACTGGAGAAGATGTGGCAGCCCAGAGTCAAGAGTCGGAGGCTGAGGAACTGCTGGGTTTGGTCACTCTGGATGAAATTCATGAAGAGGATGATGAAGACGATGTACAAGCTAGGGGGATACAAACCCCTGTAGTGGAGAAAGGTTCATCCAGCCTTGAGGAGAAACCGGTTGAATCTTCACATAAGGAGGTAAAGACCCTGATCCAAAAATAATTTATCTACATGTCTGTGAAGGTTCTCATCACAAGTTGCGGTGTCCTCAAAATGTTAGATTTAGGCAACTGGATTTGACTGACGAGAGGTTCTTTAGAACTTAGGTCTTGTTCTACTTGATCTACATTCCTGAAGAGGTGTGTAGATCAAGTGTGTAAAGAATTTAGGTCACATCAAATAGACTTTTTCAAGGAGGTCTTAAAAATGGTGTGATGTTTTCCATCATCCAGGTGATGGTTTTTAGATAAAGACTTCAAGGCTTGGTTTAGTAGGTTGAAGAGCAGGAAATGAGGTGTACAGTTCTGTGTTATTTTAATTAAAATATTTTTTCTCCTCCAGACTTTGGTGTCTCTTGAAGCAGATGATGACATAGATGACAAAACAAAGAAACCTCACGCAACTTTGAGTTTTCCAGTCAAATGCAAACATGAGCCAGGTTCTTTGCCTTTAAACCACTGACTCCAAGATCCCTTTGAAAATGTGGGGGAACTAGTTTGTGATCTGTTGTCTTTCTGTTTGTAGAAAAGGAGGAAAAGCCAACCCCCAGAACCCAAGGTCGGCAGAAGAGGAAATCCCGGACCACAGCTGGTAACGGCTGGTGATGCTGTATCTGTCACTGTGAATTTTATTTTCTTTACAATTAAGATAAACACTTTAAAATGTGTTGTTTTGTTTCAGTGAGAAAATCTCCTCGAGGGAAAACATCTGCTGAGAGAGACTGCAAAGAAGAACAGGAGCCAGGTCCCAATGGACCTGCACCTCCTCATCTTTTTGACACCTTGTCTCCTGTTAATAATCCAACAAAGATCCAAAAAGATGCAGACCCAAAGAGTCAGAAAATCCCTGACTTCCAAGGACTGAGCAAAGGTAGATAGATCTGATCTAAATCACAGCCAGGTTAGGTTGACGCTACCTTCAGAAAAGAAGATTAAAGAAAACCTTATAACTCTCTTGGTGCATAACTCATAAGCTTTGATGTCACATTAAAATAAGTCAGTGTTTAAATAAAATAACTGTAACTGGATACAAGACAGACAAAACATGAACAAACAACAACAAAAAATGGAAATTATATGATAGTGTATCCAAAAGTAGGGGAGGGGCTAATCAAAATTACATTTAAAGTTAGCCAAAACCTTTTGCTTACCAAAATAAATCAATAATACGCCATAAAAAACCTGTGCAATCAGTGTAACATAATAGCTATGAATTTTGCAAATAAGTTTAAATGCTTGCTTAAAACTGTGTGCTTATGTCATATATAAAAAGATCAATGTCATCCAAAATAACACACAATTAGCTATTGGCTAAGGCATTGTCATAGGCTAAAATAGATAGACAGAACTTTATTAATCCCTCATGAGGAGGAGGAAATTAGGGAGTTAGGGATTAAGAGTTAGCATATGTGATACCAAGACAACATCTTAAAAGGAGCTAGCCATGATAGCAAAGGAGACCTGACTTTATCTTGGAGTTCAGGTTTAATCTTAGCTCCTCTGCTCATAATCTTTCATAAGATGACATACAGTAAATAAATATTAAAACTTAACTGAGCTGATTTATTTAACCATTTTCTTCAGAATTGAGTAAAAGGAATGTGGACCTACTGGCACCTGAGGTCAAACGATCTAGATCAGAGTCTCCCTGTTCTTCTGTCAACACCAACCTCCCACCATATCATCCAGACAAATCTGTTGGTGAGAAACACACTTCTGTATATTTCTTTCTTAGGGTAACTGTTTTTTTCCTCCACCTTTAAAAATCATCTGTTGGTGTGTTGATGCAGGTCAGGAGTTTGTGGTTCCTACACTGGGATTCTTTTGTAAACTCTGCTCTACTTTCTACGTGAAGGAGAACACAAGCACCCAAGATCCTCACTGCAGCAGCAGAGGACACTACGACAGGCTGAGGGTACGTACAGCTGCTCGACTGTGTACTGTACATGTATGTGCACATTAGACTGAAAAAATGTGCACACATAAATTTCCCCTAAACTAAGGTCTAAATGTTTGCAGTGCTTTTCTCTAATTAGGAACTTTTCTCTAGGAAAATTTTCAAATGGCTACAAGTTTTGTTTATAATACACTAGACATGATATTTGTGACATTTTGGGACTGTTTCTTGGCTAACCTATAGCAAATTTCCTGCCTTTAGATTACTTTAGATTAACCTTTAGATTACTCAAAACATTTCTACATATATAATCTTTAATTCTAGAATGTTGCTGAGTGTCTGGGGTCTAATAGAAAAAAGGCTGTTGAAATTATATAGAGTATGTTTGTTAAAGATACTGTGTAAGCTAAGAACGGCTTAACATTCAAAATTAGGTTGTGACATTTTAACCTTAATCTGTAGGAACACTACCAGGAGCTGGAGGAGAAAAGCAAACCATCCAGACGTTCAGGAAGAAGGACACAAGGCTACATTTCTGACTGATGTTTCTGGTACTAGCTGTGGTGTTTGTTAATATGTTTCCTTTCCAAATAGGTTTATTTTATAAAAAGAAAATGATTCACATAATCATTGTCACAACCCCTTGTGAATAAAAATTAAAACATTTTTACTAACCATATTTTTTTCTTCTTTTCATTTGTTTAAAAAAATACAGTGGCTTTGTTGGACTTAGGCCTGCAGATAGTTGACAGTGTGATGCAGTTAATGTTTGGATTTTGAGATAATGTACATTTGAAATTGACTCGAATAGAAAGAGATTGAATTTAATTGTTAATAGTACATACCTTTTCAGTTACCATAGCGTTTTACAATTTCCTTAAGTTTTATTTTCAACGATAGTTTCCCCATCTTTAGCTCCAGGTAGCAGTATTGGCAAATTGTGTGCTTTTACTCTGGAGGCAAGCAACGACCTGAAGTCGGAAGTGAATTTTCCGTTTTCACTTCCTATCGGTTGGTTTTATTCCTTCGAAGCGGAAAACACATTGAAAGTGAGCGTAATATCGAAATAAATACCGGTGAGTAACAAAGCTTAACTATATCTGATAACTCACGGCCCGAATGTGCTGTACTATTGTCGGAGTTTTTGCTATTTTACTCTTCGACGTCAGCAATGCGGCTGTTTGCAGGGAATGCTAGTCACTAGCTAGTACAACGGCGTAATCGCCCACGTATATACTTGCATTTCTTTACGATGCACAGTATTAATTGATTTAATTGGAAAGTAAATCATTAAGTCGTATACAATGACCCATTTAGTCATTTTGATATCCGTTATGAAATGTAGAGTTGTATGTACGAGGGGACGCTCCTCTGTTAGACGAACAGAGCCAGTTGGTGACATGAACAGAACTCTAAATAAAGTTTAGTTCCTGGCAAGAGTGAGCCCACAATCTATAAAACCTATATATAAATATAGGTATAAACCTATTTTAGCTGGTTAAGTGAAACAAAATTAAGTGTGACGGTCCAGCAGAACCTAGCTTCACCTGAACCTGTCCGGTTTTGATCACTCGCTGCCAGTAAAGCTTTTGTCCAGTGTATTACCTAAAGCCGTTGGAAAAATTAGCTAAACGTTTATTTATTCTTTTGGTCCAAAACTGTGGTTTTGATGAATTTACCGGATAAGGTTCATGTAAAAACTTCTATATTAAATTCTGCAACAACACACTCACATCCATTACTAGTGCGCACACAAATGTGTCTCTTGCTCTCCCTGTTGAGTGGTTTGGTTCTGCTGGTCACAAAACTGTGTGTTAACTGGATTAACATTTTCTGAAATTAATGGAACTACTCCTACTTTGTTTTAATGTCAAAGCATTACAAAAGTCAGTCTTCTGCTGCAGCTTTTGTGAGACCTGGTCTGGTTCACTTCCTGTGATGACTGCAATCAGTTCAGTACAAAATCTACACGATTTTGTCATTAACATAGGTTTTGGATACTAATGAGTAAGGGTTTTTTTTATAATTGTGCTGATCTTACTTCCTTTGTACTACTAGTGAAGACGACGCATCGAACGACCCAAAGAAGTGCAGACAAACACAACTCTACAATCAAAAGGCTGCATCTGTCTGCCCGCCCTTTTAAAATTAATTTTTTCCCCTTTTTTTTAACTTTACAGCTTTGCGTTGATGTTTTGATCTTTGCGTCCTCATTCCATTTTTGGGCCCCAGTTGAGCCTCTTATGAAGAGGCCTCGAGGGGAGCCTGAACCCAAGTCTACAAGTTCTTGTCACGTTTACATAGTTAATTTTTAATTATGGCTATTAAACTGGGATCCTAACAAACAGCTCCTCTAAATTATTAGTTCCAACAAATATCCTGGTTTTCTTTCTCTTAACACCATGTCTCATCCTCAATATAATCCCTATCTCCCTGGTAACAAAAACTCCACCCAGAGGCCCTTTGGTAACCCCAGTTTACAAGATACTGGCATGGCAACTTCACACACTGTATCCAAGCTTGGCTTCAGTTCCTCTGGACCTTCTACAGTGACTACACCCAACGCTGAAGGAAGAGTCCCGCCACAGATGTCACAGGTTGTCACCTATGGTTCTGAACAAAGTCAGCCCAGTGCTGACAAAAACACAGAGCGATCCATGGACATTCCCCCTAACAGACCTAGGGAGAATGCAAGGTTCCCACACAATCTAGATTATCAGTCCTTTGGCTATAGCGGCCCCTTTAACAGAACTCAGAAGGATGAGTACCTGACCTCGGGCACAGGTACAAGTTCCTCAGTGTCCTCTAAAGTTGAAAGTAATAGTAACTCTTTGGACTGGTTGTTGAGCCTTAAAAAGGCACCTGTGTCAACCAACTATGCAGGCAGTGGTGACCACAGGTTTAACTCACCCAGTCAAAAAGACCACGATGTCATTTCCATTCCAGGTTTAGGAGACATTGAGTATGAACCTTCTCACAAAGGTCCTGTTGCCGCTGAGACAAGTACTCCTAAGTACTCCCCCGAATCTGCAGGCAACATTCTCATGCGCTTTGGGCTTGAAAAAGAGGACTTTGAATATCTTGTATCCTTCCCTGAAGACCAGATGACACCTTCTAACCTGCCGTACATCTTGCACCAAATCAGCATAGAGAAGGCTAAGAGAGCCACGGTCGCAGTTGAGTCTAAATCCTACTCTGAATCACAACCTATAGGAGGTCCAAGAAGACCTGACAGTTTAGGTAGTTCTGCAGGTCCCTCAGCTGTTCTCCAGCCAAAGGTGATTGATTATGGACACACCAGCAAATATGTCAGTGAGGTTGTTGAGGGGCTTGGGAGATCCGGTCACAGAGGGGCTGTTAGCAGTGAGATAGGTACATCGTTGGAGTCCTACGAAAGAAGCAGCCAACAACAACAACCTCTGCCAAAAGATTTGCCACATTTCTTAAGCAGTTCCCCGGGCTCTTCTCAGAGTGAAGTCAGTCCTTTTCCAGGTTCCACTCCCTCATATGGTTCATACAGGAGTGATCTAATAAAGAAAATGCAACACCAACCAAATCAGACCCACCAACAGCACCTGGAAACGTTTGTTCTTCCAAAAACAGACACAGACAGAAGAACCTTTTCTAAGCCTTTTCCTTACACAGAATCAGCCGATCGCCAGTACACTTCAGAGAACAAACCTTCTTATACTGAGTTCCGCAGTAGTCATGGTCTTGCGGTCGCCGGCCACGTTGACGATACCAGGAATAAGCAGAACTACGTGAGACAATTTAGCCAACAGAACTTGGGGCAGGTGCAGCAGAGGCAACAAAACCAGCAGAGGCTGCCGCAGCAGAACCAGCAGGTAGAAGTCCAGAAGAACCCAATGAGGGCACTGAATCAGCAAGGACAGATGCTACAGAATCAGCAGAGTCAGCAGAACTTGGGGCAGATGCAGCAGAGGCAACAGAACCAACAGAGGCTGCCACATCAGAACCAGCAGGTAGAGGTCCAGAAGAACCCAATGAGGGCACCGAATCAGCAAGGACAGATGCTACAGAATCAGCAGGTGCAGCAGAGGCAACAAAACCAACCACGGCTGCCACAGCAGAACCAACAGGAAGGCATCCAGAAAAATCAGCCGAGGTTGCAGAATCAGCAAGGACAGATGCTGCAGAATCAGCAGAAGCATCCAGCACCACAAGTTAAAAAAGAGCCACCCCCACTTTCTTCTACGAAGCAACCGTCACCTGTTGCACCGCTTGTCCCTGACGCTGTGAGTACTAGGCCATCTGTTGGGTTTAGAGTCGGAGTTCCGTCATCAAAGCCAGTCCTGTTCCAGGTCAATGCTCTCGAGTCTCCGGCAGCTCCGGTCAAGCAGGCTGTGTCTACGTTGCCAGTCTCCAAGGGTCTACCAACGCTGGTCATGATGCTCGACTATGCAGCATCCACACCGAACAACTTTCCACATACCTGTTCTCTTTGTTCCAAAGAATTTCGTGATATGAGGGTGAGTAGAAGATTCTGATCTTGCTTCCTACCAGTATGTCACAGTTCTTTATTTGCAGTGTATTGTCTCTTTCATTCATTAAAGGCAACAATTCTGGGTCTTATCTATCATTTTAAGATCTTTTTTGTTATGTTTCTGTAAAATCCAAGTTTACCTTGACAGACTCTCTTTCTGATATATTTTTCTATGCCCCCATTTTTTGGAATCTTGTTTCCACATCTAAATTCCCGTAGGTGAAGCCAAAGATTTTAACCCTGACCCTTTCCTATAGTGACCTTAAGCTGACCTAGATAAAAACCACACCCCATAAACCCAGCCTTCACAAAATAGAGACCCTAAGAAGGCGAGCAGAGGTTTCAGGTTAAAATTAAAAGGTCAGAAAGTTCCCCTTGTTAATGAGTAAACATCTTGTTACATGCATGTGCCTACCTTTACATCATCACTCCTTTTTATTTAAACAGGATATTAGAAGAATTTAAGAAACATTTATTTTTTTCTATTGTTAAGTATTTAGAATTCAACACAGAAAAAGACAGTGTCATTAGTGGGAAATGTTTTCTCTGATGATAACTGGATCTTCACGTTCCTTCCTCAATTTTGAGGAAATTCCACTCAATGCATACATCCATCTCTGAGGCACCTGGCTAGGACGGTCCTGAAGAGACTCAAGTTGACATCAACTGCCGACCGGGATCCTCGGGAGTGTTCTGACAACGATGAGAGCCTCCTGGACTACAAGCGCTGCTTAGAACAAGAAAATGTTACGCTGCCTTGTCTTGGCACCTTCTTGTAGAAGTCGGCTTTCCGATGATCAGGAACTCCGAAGAACGTCTTTGTAGACTGTTGTAAAGATCCGCAAAACATGATATAAATAAACATCTCTTGACAGTTATTACAGTAAAGCTTGTCTCTGTGATGGCACGTAATCTCAATGTTTTTGTGTTTTCTTTAATTTTTTTTTCTTTGATCATCAGGGCTGGATCTCCCACCAGAACAACAACCTCCACCTTACAAACTGCAGACTCCTGCGCACAAAGTCAGTCTTTTTAATTTTCTTCCTTATTTTTCCCAAAAAATATTTTGTATACATCTCGTAAAACATGTATTAGAAATGTGAAATGGAGTTCAGCTGCCTTTGATAAAATGAAAACATAAGACGTTACCAGCTCCAGTCTCGTGATGTCCTCTGGCATCATTCTTCAAAATTACATATTGTCATTTTTAAAGTCTTAATGTTTCTGTAATGGCACAATAAGGAAGTGCCATGTCTTACATAAAATAGTGGAACCCCTAGGTATGAGTGTAATTCGTTCCACAACAGCACTCGTGTGTCGATTGCATTTTCCCCATGAAAAATAACTAAAAACCAATTAATTCATTTCAGCCCCTGCAGAAATATACTATTAAATCATTAAATGAACTCTCCCCCATCTAAACATACAACACATAGATATAAACAAATATGTTATCTAATCTAATAATATATTATCTTTGTTATAGAATGGGGTAAAATAACCAAGTGAGGGACAGTGAGCGAGACAGAGTGTCGGGCCACTAAGGTAGGAGGAGGACTGGGAGTGAGGACTTGATTTAGATGATAGAGAGAGAGAGAGAAAGCGACGAGTAAAATGACCAAGCGAGGGACAGTGAGTGGGACAGTGACAAAAATGGAGTTCAGTTGTGCTCTCATAACTAGATGTTTCCTTCTATCACGAAGAACATCTTGCAATAGTTGCTTACTGCTAATTGGCAAAACTGGTATTTCGTGGCGCTTGTATCTAGGGATTCCAATGTATTTTCTGGAAACTGAGCAGAGCTGGCACTATATAGATCACCTCAGTGAAGTATTAGATGAGTCTGAGGGTTGGAGTGTTTGCAGATTGTAGTCAACAGGTGTATATGTTTTGTAAATATTGTATTTATAGCATTCCTGATTTCTCCACAGCTACCCTTACTGGGACGGGAAAATCGTCTCTGAGCCAAGGTGATTGTCTTGGACTTCGGATGATCTTTGAAAACAAATACTTCTGTTTATTTCTTTGACTTTTGTTGTCCATTATTTTAGTGCTGCAGAGAAACATTTCAAGCACTCATCCTCTACTTCTGGGCAAAAATCCCATCAGCATCCCAAGAGAACCAGAAATGACAGTCGTTCCCGCTCACGTAGTCCTCGTCTTAGTGCTGCAGAGAAAAATCCCAAGGGCTCCTCCTCCACTTCTGGGCAAAAGTCCCAACAGCACCACAGGAAAAATAGGGATGACAGTCGTTCCCGCTCACGTAGTCCGCGTAGAAGAAGGAGACGCAGCCATTCCAAATCTCCACGTAGCTCAAGATACACTCGCAGGTGTGCAAAACAAACAAACAAAAATGGATCATGAGTAATGCGACACAACAGTTTCCTGAATGTCACCTTTAATTACCAGATCACGTTCAAGGAGCCAAGAGAGACACAAAAAGAGGGATGAGAGGCAATCTGCTTCACGAAGGTCTGACAACAAAAAGACCTCATCAACCAGGTCTGATGACAGTAGGTCTTCCCCTAAAAAGTCAGATAAGAAAATGTCTTCTCCAAGACGAAGCAGAGAAAGAAGGCAGTCATCTGATGGATCTGCTCAACCAACACAGGCCAGCGGTGCAGAGAAACTGGTGAAGAAACTACTCCAAACAACAGGTTTGAGAAAATTGTCCCACCAAAGATGACTCGTATCACATCAAGTGCCGTTGATTAATTCAGTTGTATCTGTCCTTGTAGCCGCTCACTCTGAGGAGCCCAACCTGGAAGCCATGGTGAAAACTCTTGCTCCTGCTTTACTTGTTGAGCTCAGCAAGATGAAGTCTTCTTCATCATCGTCATCAACAACAACAAGGAAGGAGAAGACCTCAATTTCAACCAAGGTTAGGAGAAATGTATCATCTTTTTTTTGGTTGTTCTACAGTAATTTCAGTCGTTACTAGGGGTGAACACTGATCATCTGTGGGTTCCTCCATTGTTTATTCTCTCATCAGTCGGACAAACCTGAACCGGCTACCATGGTGAAGCTGATTGGCATTCCTTTTTCTTTGGCTCACAGTGACTTGTTCAATGCCATGGAGAAGTTTGGAAAAACAACAGCAGTGGTCATATATCGCTCCAGACTTGAGGTACACCATGTTGTGTTTTTTACATGTTTGATTTGAGAATGAACTAATGCTAGATGACTAGCGTCTTCAATTTTCTGATGCAGGCCACAGTTCGTTTTGAGAAGGTGGAAGATGCTGAGAAAGTTAAAAGTCAGAAGAACGTCATGGTGAATGGAGTAGAAGTGACTGTGGAGAAGGTACGAAGCTGTTTGGTTTTTCAGCCTCCTACATTTCTGCAAACTCAAAATCAGCAATATTTATCAATTATCAACTTGTGTTCATTTCTAGAAGGACTCTGAAAGAGAGAAGAAAATGCCTGAGAAGTAAGTTTAACTTTGGTTAAAATATCATCATGCTAAACATGTTCGCAAAAGCACATACTTCAAATTTCCATGTAAATGAGAAACAAACAGAAACGGGCAAACTGGTTGTTTTTTCTAAATCACATTGTATATTGTTTAAGTGAAAATGAGCATAAATCGATATAGTCTCATACTTCATCACTCTGAAAATACATTGATCAGTTGTTCAGCTCCAATTCTTGGCCTGTGTGTGAAATCAATGCTCGTGGATGAGTTAACCATCTCCTTTTTCTACTTTGATTTGCAGTAAACCTGCTGCTGTCAGTGCATCAAGTTCTCAGAGGTCTGAATCCAGCCGCCAATCAACTGTTGAAACAACTGCACCCGAGAATAAATCACAGGCCTGTTCTGCAAAACAGACCACTGCTGAAAATGCCAACAATGTTGATAAGTTGGATGATTCAACAAAGCAAACCCAGGAAACTAAGAAATCTGTAAGGGAAACCACAGGTGATGAGAAGTTGACAAAAACAACTGATGCTGAGTTTACAACAGCAAATGTCAAAGAAGAAAAATCTGAAGTAACCCTATCCACCACCTCAGACACTCCCTTTGACCCTGAAACGTCTGACCTCAGTGTTCAACAAGAGTCAGTGTTAGTTACCGTCAAGGTGAAGTCAGAAAGTGAGCCAGAGTCTGCCACAGAGCAGGAAAAGAGTCCTGCTTCCCCACTGAAGCTCGGCTCACCATCAGCTGAGGTTTCTCCTGAAACTGTGAAGTCAGAGGTGAAACCAGAAACCTTCACCGAGATAAACCCACCTGCTGAGACTCAGACATTAGACCTGGACCAGGTCCAGGATCCCCTGGCTAAAGATATCAAGGCCAGCACAAAGATTTCAAATGAGAGTGAAATTGATGAAAATGACCAGACCTCACCATCAGATGTTCCAACAGAACCCAAGATGGATTACAAGAACCAACTGGTCAGCTGTGAACCCCTTCAACTGGAATGTGAGAACGTGATTCAGAGTGAAAGCTTAGAAAAGTCCCCAGTGTTGGACAGTTTAGAGAAAATCAACAGCTGCGCTGAGGATCAGACTAAGGACAACCTGGAAGTTTCTTCTCAGGTGCTCAATGAAGGTGGTGGTTCCACACCTGAGAAACAGTCATTGGAAAATTCAACCAAAAAATCAGATGAAAAACAGGAAGATACAGTACTTGACAGTACTTTGCCTGTATCAAGTACTAGTGTTGAACAAGATTTTGTCAACCAAGAAGAGCAGAAAGTGATGCTTCTAAGCAAAACACCAGAGGTCCCCAAAGAACTCAATAAACCGGTAGACTACGTCTCAGAAGACAACACAGAAGACCAAGACATTGATACAATGGATCTGGACTCCTTTCAGATACTGGACTCCATCGACTCAACAGAAGATGACAATGACGAGCAATCAGAAGTGAAGCCTTCAGACAAAGAAGAAGATATGTATCGCATTGTTGATTGTCTGGAGGATCAGTCAACAAGTCAAAAAGAGCCTGAAGCCAACAAACAAACCAGTGATGTCACAAACAAACAAGTAACAAAAGTTTGGTCATCTCCAAGGACCAGATCATATAGAAAAAAAGGCGAGTCAATCAAGGAGGACGACAAGGCGGCGACAGAAAACAAGATCCAAACAAAACCATCTGTTGAAGGACCTGTTGAGTCCACTTCAGAGAGATCTGTCAGAAGGACACGAGGAAAGAAAGAGGATATCCACAAAGCTTCAGCAAAGACTTCTGTTGATGAGCCATTCTCATATAAAATCTTGGACTCTGTGGGAGACGAGCCGGAAGAACCAATGGTTATGACAAGATCCACGAGAGAACGTAGAGGAAGAACAACAACTAATGACACTGCAGTCGAGAAAACAAAAAAAGAAACTACAGGGACAAGACGGAGGCGCACTCCTGTTAGAGAACAACAAAAGAAGGAGGAGAAGACATCTAAAAGGAGCGACATAACTGAAAAGGAGACAAAAGAGGTAGGAGAAGAAGGTGCTACCCGTGGGATACTAGGTTCTGAGGAGAATCAGGTTGGGAAGAAAGACCAGCCAACAACCAGAGGCAGAAGAGGAAGGTCAAGAAGAGATGAAAAATCGATAACAAAAGAAACGGAAACCCAGAAGATAGATGCTTCAGAAGTACTGGCTGTGGAAGAGAAGGAGCAGGAGGAGGAGCCTTTATATCAAATTTTAGATTCCGTTGAAGACGATCAGGTCCAGGAGGAGTTGACGAGTACAGAGGGGTCCACGGGGGAGACCAATAAAACAGGTGAAACTAAAGATGTTTTTTCAGAAAAAGGAACTCTGTTGGGAAGAACTGCAGCAGAAGAATCTGAAGGAACAGAAATGGATGATCAACCTTACAAAATAGAACACAAGAGTGGAACAAAGACCAAAGCAGAAGGTGATAACAAGCACACTATGTGTGAAGTGTCCAAAGAAACAGACAAAGCCTGTCCAAAAGAAGACACACCAGAGGGCTGCACCTCTGAAGACACAGTAAAGGACTTTGAAGAAGAAAAGGATTCTTCATCTGCTGCAGAAGATTCACTCCTGAAGAACCAAGCATCAGTCGATACTGAAGGGGGTGCCATCGAGTGTTCTTCTAACGCAGCTGCTCAGAAGCAGGAGATGCAGCTCTGTAAGGAGGAAGACGGCCACCCCAGGAAAAGGCAGAAAGTGGAGCTGGCGGAGGTTGAAGATGACAACACTGCAGGTGAAGTGGCAGGTTTGACCGACCAGGTCACAGCTGGAGAGGTGCAGGACCTCCTCACTCTGGAAGCTACAGGCCCTAACCACAGAGGAAATATGGAGCAAAGCCCAGAGGAGTCGCAGGAATCAGAGTTATCTGTGAATGTGAAGGTAAAGATAAGGACTGTGTTTGCGGCAGCAGTGTACTCTCTTGAAATGTGATAAATAATAGCGGTAAAATCACCAGCTTGGTATGTCATCTTTTATTCCTTGTGTTTTGAAGACTGAACAGATGAAGTTGGTGTATATTTGTTAAAGATGTGTTTTTAAAGGTTTCACCCTTCTCTGTTCCAGACTCTGACTCAGGTCTCAAAATCTGAACTGGACGTGTCCTCAGGTAGGAATGATCTCTCGGCCTGTCTCGAACCATCAGGGACATCAGTAATCTCTAAGATCAAATACATGTCTCTCTCAGGTTTCACCTCTGTAACAACCTTCCACTACTCTGAAAAGACTCAGTCCTTAGAACCTGGTGGACCCAGGTCTAGTACATGACCCTGGTTCTGCTTCTTGAAGTGGAAAGTGTAATGTTTAAGTCAAACTTTTGTTTTCTATGAACCACAGAGGAGAACCATACGTCTGCGACTGTAGATGAGGCAGGAGGAGCTACAGAGGAGGGGAAAACCTCTGAACCTCCAACCGAGACGAACAGTGGATCTCTCGGTACGAGTTAGAACTCAGAGGATGGAATCCATTTTCAGAGGACAAATTCTAAAAAAAGAAATAACTCTTTGTCTCTGACATTAAAAAAACCAGGTCATGGTCAAAAGACCAGTGCTGAGGAGCAGGGAGAAGAACAGGAACCAGGCTTTAAAGAACCTGCATCACCTGTTGCACCACAAAACATGTTTGAGGTAACAGCAGAACTCGGGCAGCAAATCCTGGAGGAATGGATTGAAGCTGCTGCGGAAGACCTGAAGCCTGAGGACCAGAACCTGGAAGAGTTCGAGGCCAAGCAAGGTGGGTCTGGGTTTTCTGGTTCTCGCCTTCATAGTTTTAAAAGGTTTTGAAAAATCAAGTCAAAGCCTCCAGGTGACCATGCCCTGTACAGATTTGCATTGTCATCCATGTTTACTGATCAACAATATTTATATTTTTCTGCGTTTAGCAGACATGACATAACTTTCTGTCGGTGTTGGTGCTGACCAAGTACTGTATCAGAAGGGAGCAGAGATAAAAGTGGACAAATGATGCCCCATTTAATGCTGCTTTTAAACAACTGAAATTCCCCTTCTCTCCTCCTCTTATGTTCCTTAACTCTAGTTAAAAGGAAGTCAGAGTTTGACGGACTTGAAGCCAAAAAACCTCGTTCTGAGTCTCACTGTACCTCTGCTGACACGAAACTGCCAGCATTTACTCCCAACAACCCAACAGGTGAGGAAAAAATGTTTACAATTAAAAAATAAAAATTTGCTTTCATTTATTTTTATTTTTTATGCAGTTTTTTATATGTTGTGTTTCCTCAGGCCTGGAGTTTGTGGTCCCCAAATCTGGTTTCTTCTGTAACCTCTGCCGTATTTTCTACCTGAGTGAGAGGACAGCCAAGGAGATGCACTGCAGCAGCAAGAAGCACTACGACAACCTCCAGGTACCGATGCACAAACATACTTTCACAGAAACTGTAGGTCTAGAAACTCATTTTCCCCCGTGCCAAAGTACACAGAGAAAATCAGTGATTTTAGCTCGCGGTCCAAACTCAAAGTGATGTTATTATTTCAAATGTGTTCTTTTGTGACCTTAGTGCACCTCTGTGAGATAAAATCACTGATTTCTCCCATGGAGTTTGGTAACAGCACTTGTTTTCTGCAGAGTAGTTACCACTAATATGTTCATAATCCAGGACGGTGACTGCAGAAATAATTTCAGAAATTAGGAACATACATCGTCAACATAGTGATGTTAAGTTGGTTTGGAGAGACAAGAATCCAAACCAGAACATTCACACCACAGTGTGCAGGGACAGAGCAGGACAGACTTTAATCTGCGGCTAACCTTTGACCCCACGCATTCTTCCTTGTCTTAAAATTCTGACTATATTAATGCACTTGTTCCTACACCCCTCATTTCTTCCTCCTCCTCCTCTACCTCCTGCTGTGTTTCAGAAATATTACGAGACATTTCATCTCAAAGCACCAGAAAGTTCGAAAGCCAACCTGCAGTGACTGATCTATCAAACTTCATCATCTGAGTTGGACCAGGGCCGGTTTATAAAAAAATGTAATATTATAATAATGTTCTATTATTGTCATTCTACTGTATGTTTCCTGTTTTAAGAATAAAAATGATGCTTCCACTTGGATTGTGGTTGGCTCTATTCCCTCTGAATTCACTTCTGATCTTTGTTACTTCATTGGTTTATGGGCGGAGTAAATGATTGTAACAAATAAGATGAATAATGATATAAAAAGCAAAAAAGAGTTTTTAAAAAAAAATCTGTTCTAAGAAAATTCAGGGCCAGGTTTTTTTTTTGAAATGTTCATACATTGCCGTAAATCCTTCATTATTCCAACGTTGATCATTTTCCTAGCTAACCTTTACACGTTACAATTGAGACAACTGAGCTACTGAAGCTTAACTGGATATTTTTCACATTAATGTTTTGATGAAGTCACTTCTGGATGTTGAAACAAGATGCACTGTTTCAATATTAATTTTATTGTATGTAAAAACATGTATCCACCAGCCTTGTCTTAAATTTAAGTTGCCATTGGATTTCAGTTGTGTTTTTGGTACAGTAACGCATGTGTACATTTGGCCCCTCACACCATTATCCTATTCCAACCACATAGAGAAATTGATGATTCTCTCTATAGACTTTGGTCTGTGAGCTAAAATCACTGATTTTCTCCGTGGGCTTTGACGTGGGAGAATAAATGCATGACCCAACCTGCCACAAACGTCCGTCTACGATAGAATATTGAGTTGTTGTTATGGTCATGTTTTTGTATTAGTACATAGCATTAGTCGTAGACTACAGTTTAAAAAAAGAAGATGAACTGTCCCTTTAAGGCTGCCCAAATAAGTGGAAGCCAATGCAGAGTCCTAACAGGAATAGCTGCTGCATTCTGTGTGTTTGTGTGTGTGTGTGTGTGTAACCCAGACTGCTGAGAGCAGCTCTAACTCAGTCTCTGATTCAATCGCGGTGTCTCTCGTCCACAATTCTCTCTCTCTCTCTCTCTCTTTCTCTCTCTCTCCTCTCTCTGTTTTTCCTGATACTGATCCTGGACTGAAGAGATCCTTGACTTTCCTGGACTCCTCGTTGTCCAGGAGGTTCAGCTGCACGGATTAGACACTGTGTGTGTGTGTGTATGTGTGTGTTTTAGTGTGAGCCATGTTGCGTGTGTTTATCTTATGTGCAGAGCGTCTGCAGACACCAGACGACGACATCAGTGATGCTTACTGCCAAGTCATCTATGAAGGTAAGAGAGAGAGAGAGAGAAGGTGTGTGTGTGTGTGTGTGTGTGTGTGTGCCAGTCTAACTGCACTAGCACTCAGACCTGCTCCCTGTGTCAAACAGCTGATGGGTTATTATTGGAAAAGCTCTAAGTCATGGTTGGTGGTGTCCTGGCTCCTGCTGGGTGGTGCAGTGGGGCACACGTTTGTTGTTGGGGTCTCACCAAGCCTTAAGGTTTGAAGTCACATGAGCTTCCAGTGGTTTCTGTAAAACACAACTGAACAACACCGTTTGTTCTCAACATTCTTTTGTTTAAATAGTGAAATAAGAGACATAACCTGTTTTTATAGCTCATAACACTGTGTGTGTGTGTGTCTCTGTGTGTGTGTGTGTAATCTAATGTATAACTGATTTGAATATCCAGAATGTATTCTCCTTTGGGGCCTGTTTGTCTCATCTCTGTATTCAACTCTGTTTCTCTCCTAATGGTTTCAGTCTTTGTCAAGGGGAGAAAATACAGTAGACAATAATAGAATATAGTAGAAAGTCTCTGATTGTAGTCATTGACTAAGGTTTATTTTTAATGTTTTTAACTAAACTGATGCTGAATTTGTTCAGTTCATAACATTGTGTAGAAGCATTAGAGTCCAGTAGAACAGAACAGACTAATGCTACAGTAGACTTGATAATAATAATAATATTAATATCCAGGTTTATACACCATCATACGTGTTTCTACCTACTGCCAGCAGGGGACGCACTCTAAAGTTCAGGGGTAATAAATAGTAGAAATTTCCGTTCAGCCATTTTTTTCAGGAATATCAGATTGGAAAATTATCAGGATTAGCGATGAGAGAGAGAGAGAGAAAGAGAGAGAGAGAGAGAGAGCTAGGTAAAGAATGAACTGTGTGGCTCTGCAGCAGGAAACAGGCAAAAGAGCAGGAGATAGGAGAGGAAAAGTCAGCAGGAAACACTCAGGTTTCCTCTGGACATGAATTCCCCACACATTCACTGGCTGACTTTTCTCAGGAGCACAGGGAGAACACAGCCACTTCATCCCGACCTCCTCACTGGAAGAAGACGCTCCTGTTTTCTGGACTTAAAGCGATGGTCAATACCTTAGAGCTAATTTAAATTGGAGGAAAAAATTCTAACCTTTTATGTTTAAACCGTACTCTGCAGTTTTTTTAAGAATTCAATGGAAAAGATCATCAAAAGATCATTTTGATTTCCCTGAAACATTTTGTCGGTGCCGTCCACCAATCTGAGGCCGAGTTTTGTTTTCAAACTTCGGATATTGAACATTTGCTGCTCAACAGCACTTTTAAAGCTCAGTTAAACTTTGGAAAGTGTCGTAAAGTTTCACGGTATTATCTTATTATTATCTATATTTTTCTTATTTGTTTTTTCCTATAAGTGTTGGTCCGAACTGTTCTGGTCATGTGAGTTACTTTTATCAGTAGCTGACCTCAGAAAAGTCGGAAAATAAAAACGACTTTTGTACAAAGTTTACCTGAGTGAGGGTTTTTGAGGAATTCTGGGATCATGCTGCGATGCCTTGTACAGCGAGCCAACAACCTGAGCCACTCCCACCCACTGGCTGGTGTCATCTTCAGAGGTAAGAGCATCATTGGAAACAGCAAAGCATCATGGGACAGGGACTTTCTGTAAAATCAGGAAAAAAAGACACCAGCTTTTTTTTACAAAAACACTTGGTCAAACTTTACTAGATTTTTCAGGATAAATAACGATTAATGAGTTCAGCTCGAAGGCAGTGTGTGTTTAATAGGAAAAACAGACCAAAGTCCATGGAGAAAATCAGTGATTTTAGCTCATAGACCAAAGTCCATGGAGAAAATCAGTGATTTTAGCTCATAGACCAAAGTCCATGGAGAAAATCAGTGATTTTAGCTCATAGACCAAAGTCCATGGAGAAAATCAGTGATTTTAGCTCATAGACCAAAGTCCATGGAGAAAATCAGTGATTTTAGCTCATAGACCAAAGTCCATGGAGAAAATCAGTGATTTTAGCTCATAGACCAAAGTCCATGGAGAAAATCAGTGATTTTAGCTCACAGAACAAAGTCCATGGAGGAAATCAGTGATTTTAGCTCACAGACCAAAGTCCATGGAGGAAATCAGTGATTTTAGCTCACAGACCAAAGTCCACAGCGACAATCAGTGATTTTAGCTCACAGACCAAAGTCAACAGAGAAAATCAGTGATTTTAGCTCACAGACCACAGTCCACAGAGAAAATCAGTGATTTTAGACGCAGGAGCTAACAGTGTGTAATCTGAAGGCTTTTTTATTAATCAGGTTTGGGGTGGGACAGTGAGTGAGACTTGAATAATACAGTACTAGTGATTTAACAACTCCAGCTCCATCTTCTTGTTCTTATGATTATTTTCGGTTCTTGTCACTGTGTGTGTGTGTGTGTGTCTTTGTTTGTTTAAGTACAGACATGAGTGGTGTTTGTGTGCTGAAAGCAGGATTTCCTGTTGTTTGTTTAACCAGAAATAAAAACTGGCACAACTGCTGGCACAGTCCTGAGCTAATTATCTTCCTGGACACATTTACATGAACATAACATCCTCACGTCATCCTGTAAATACCCTTTTTTGTCAAACCTTTGAATACAAAAACCATAAGAACTGTACAAAGAAGTCCCCACCCTTAATGATCCCATTAATGTAGATTTCTCTGTGTGTGTGTGTGTGTGTGTGTGGTCTAGGTGAAGTTATCAGTGTGGGGACATCAACAGTTAGGGACAGGATTAAGATTAGGCATGCCAGTGTAATGGTTAAGGTAAATATGGTTAATGTCTAACTGGAGTCCTCACAACGCATGAAAACCAGACTGTGTGTTTGTGTCTGTGTGTTATGGTCTATTCTTGGCTGATGGAATCCACGCCAAGCTGAAGGCAGCAGGAAGTGAATGCTGTGTCACTGAGATGTAAACTCAGATATCAGCTGTCAGGACACACACACACACACACACACGCACACACACACACACACTCACTCACACACAGACCTCTCTCTCTCTGTCCTCAGTGTTTGTATCACCCACTCCTCTGCACCAACGTCCACAGAGACGCAGCAGTTGAATTACGCCAGTAACTTCCTTCACTGCCGACGTCAAAACGCCAAACAATAGAAAACTTTACTTTCCTGTTTTCCACAGTCCCTTAATGTAAGAACAGGGTTCTAAGGTGATCAGGTCTCTCTCTCTCTCTCTCTCTCTCTCTCTCTCTCTCTGTTTGTGTTTTTGTGGCCTCACTTATATCTGGTGTCTGCGAGGAGCGTAGGTCCAGCTGATGTTGGTTGTCCATAACCATGGTCTTTCTTTGCTGAATTTGTAATGAAATTAAACTGATTTAACAACAATCACTAATTTATGATCCGCTTCAAGTAAATTTGAACCATTTATTGTCCCTATTAGGTCGGTTTATGTTCCTTTGTGTGTTGGTGTTATTTTTCTGTCTGCTATAAATGTAGCTGTCCCTACACAAATGTTTAGTTGACACTTTTTCTTAGGTTGTTTTTTGATACGTTTTTGGCTAACTGTCCGTGCTGACCCTAAGTTGTCGGTTGATACAGTTAATGTTGTTGTGTGAGTGTGTGTATGTGTGTATTGTGCTAAGTTGTCGTTTGATACAGTTAATGCTGTTGTGTGAGTGTGTGTATGTGTGTATTCTTCTTCATTAGCTCAACAATAATCTAATAACTGCAATAATAACAGCTTCCAGGAACCAAGGCAGAGCTTTATTAAATCTCTCTTCCCTGACAAATGTTAAAATCTTACACCAAAATGTGTTTTTTCTTTTTTTTCTTTCAGGGTCAAAGAAGAAGACCAAGGTCATCAAGAACAATCCCAACCCTGTGTGGAACGAGGTAGGACTTTTGGAAAAGCTGTTTGTTTCTCCTCTCTTTTGTGTCCTTCTTCAAACGTCCGTGTTGATCTGGCTCCGACCTGTTTGTGTGTTTGAGGGTTTCGAGTGGGACCTGAAGGGGATTCCTCTGGACTCTGCAGCCGAGCTTCACTGCGTGGTCAAAGACCATGAGAAGATGGGTAGAAACAGGTGGAGAAGCACAGAACTGGAGCTTTGAAACACCTGGAACTGTTCTTTAGTGAGAGGAGGAGCCACTGGTGTCAACTTCCTGTCCTCTTCCCCTAGGTTTCTGGGAGAATGTCGGCTTCCTCTCAGAGATGTTCTCAACTCTCCAGGTCTTGCTGCTTCCTTCACCATCTCCCTGCTGGACACCAAGAAGAACAACACCGGGGTTAGCACATCACATTTAAGCTAACATTTAGCTTCTATAAGGTTACACCTGAACATTTAATCGGTGGTCGACAGAGGTACTGCAGTGTCTGTATCTGGTCTTACCTGCTATTACCAGGTAGATTTGAGTGTTTATTTTTGAGCTCGATGTTTGTTCGTGTCTCATCTATCTGTGGGTCATAGACTGTGGATAAATAATAAGTAACTAACATTTTCAACTGTCCTTAATTGGTTTTCTTGAATAATGTTTAAATGTCTTCTTTGATAGCCATTTTTATATACTCTGATTGGCTAATTTTCCACTAACTTTTAGTTACCCTGTTGTAGACTTTTATCTTTTAGGTCCAATGATTCCCTTTTTTTCTTGAACTAATTTGTTGTTTGAGACCTTTGGTCTTTAGTTAATATTAACTTTGAGCTTCTTTTAAACTATTTTCAACAATTTTTGCTTGAAACCTCGTCTTAAACCTTGGCTAAGGTAAAACACTTCACTCTGGTCACTCACCCTTACACACACACACAGACACACACACACAGACGCACGGACTGAGAACATTAATCTTCCAGAGTTTCCTGGAAACTTCAACCAGAGGAAGTCAAAGCTGACTCCACCTGAGTCTTTATCTTCATCCAGGACCAGAATCTTTCAAACATCTCTAGACTTTTCCAGTCAGGAGGAAATTACTCTGATCTTCATCATCATCATCATCACACTGATCAGCCTGATGCTTTTGTTCCACACAAACCACACAGTTACAATAAAGACCCATCATCCTGTTGAAGGAAACGCCTGAAGAAACACCTTTAACTAAAAACACTTGTCCTCGAAGTAAATGAAAGTTTGACAGAAATGAAATTATTTTTAAACAGGAAATTAGCTAAATACGTCTCAGAATCAGAACTAGTACCTTCATGATTCCATGTGTGTGTCCTGTGTCTACTACCTAGGCCACACTGACTCTCCAAGTGTCCTACGTCCCTCCTCCTGGGTCACTTCCTCCCTTCCTGCCTCCTTCTCATCTGGAGACTCCGTCTCACATCAACCCAGGGGTGGAAATGGACACAGTCACTAGTAACGAAAACTCTAAACTGTTCCTTTAAGTCCCTTTGAGAATTGGTACCAGTGTCTGTAATTTGTACCTGTCCCTTTTCTCCTGCAGTGATTTCTCTGGACACTCTGGGGGAGGAGGACACTGAAAGCATCCTGATGGTGGAACCTCCAGAGGATCAGGGACCAGACGACGGGCGCTCCATGGTCATCGTTGGCCCTCAGGGGCCACCAGGAAAGGAGTCACCCACGACCCAGATGCCCAAACGCTCCCCGCCTTCTTACAATGCCCAAAGTGGGCTGAAGAAGAGGAGGAGAGGAGGAGGTGGGCAGCAGAAGGCTCTGCCCAATAAACCACAGGACCTGCAGGTACTGAGACTGGATCACAGATAATGGACTGGACTGGGCCACAAAGACTGGACAACGGGGACTTGACCACTGGGATTGGACTGCACAGACCGGGCCACACTCATCGAAGTGGACCACATCAGCTGACGTGGACTATTATTGCACAGACTGGACAACAGTGACAAGAACACCCCCACCAAACTACGTGGGTTGTACCACACACACTGGACTAGACTGCACTGACTGGTTCACATGGAGTGGACTGGACCAAACAGACTGGACTGCACATTTGTAGGAAGTAGACCAACTTTTTATGTAAACGACGTTCTGAGCTTTATTACAAAATAAAGCTTTATTTTGAAATTCTCAGCTAGGCGCTTCCACATGTTCATAGGTCCGTGTTCGGGTCATCGAAGCCCGTCAGTTACCAGGCATCAACATCAAACCTGTGGTCAAGGTAACAGTCTCTGGGCAGTCTCGGAGGACGCGCATCAAAAAAGGCAACAACCCGTTTTTTGATGAGGTACTGATGAAGAAGTCAATCTGCATGGTTTGTTTGACATTTGTCTTTATAATGTTGTAAAGTTGAAAGAATCCTCTTCTCTCCTCAGACCTTCTTCCTGAACTTCTTTGAGACTCCCTCAGATCTGTTTGATCAGCCCATCTTCATCACAGTGAGTTCCCCCGGTCTACTCTCTATTCTGTTCTTGACCGAGGCCTAAGTCCTGCCTTCCCTCTGTGTGATTGACAGGTGTGTGACTCTCGCTCTCTTAGAACGGACGCTGTCATTGGTGAATTTAAGGTAAAAATTAATGTCACCACACTTTTAATCTCTGACCTTTGACAGTGAGCTTAAATAAAGAAGTAAAAAAAAATCATTTTTCTCACAGTTGGATGTCGGCACCATTTACAATGAACACAGTGAGTTTGTTTCACCTCCTTTTTCTTCTTAGACTCTTTTATTCTGCAGGATTTGTGAATGTTTTTGTGTCTGTGTACAAAAATGTATTTTTTAAATAAAAACAAATGTTTAACTCTTCAGGACACTGTTTCTTGAGGAAATGGCTGCTGTTGTGTGACCCTGATGACCTTTCAGCCGGTGTCAGGGGTTATCTGAAGGTCAGCCTGTTTGTTTTAGCAGCAGGTGACGAGCCTCCGGTGAGTGACAGATAAGCAGTATTATCACTGTTAACGTCTGTGAAATAAGCATATTAGCATGATAAAATATGCTAATAAATATTAAAAGCCAGTGTATAACAACATGTTTATGTAATATCTTCATATACTGACCACATGAGAAAGCTAAAATGATGCTATCATGCTATCATGCTAGCTATCATGCTAATTAGCATTCCATATTTGGCAGCATGTACTTAAAATGCCAAATATGGAATGCTAATTAGCATGATAGCATAGCTCAAACTGTGCATGCTAATTAGCATTTAATGAAATGCTTCATAGCATGATAGCACCACTTTAGCTCCCAGAGATCTTCATCTTAAACTGATTTTTCTTGTACAGGAAACTTTCTGAAGTAGAGTTTCTTCTTTGTCTACATTTGTCATTGTTGTGAAAATGTTTTGCCAAATGTTTTATAAACATGTTTTCTTAAAGGTGGTCACGTCGGTTATTGCTATACTTCAGTTCTGAAAATATAGTCCAAAAAGGTGTGAGAAGAAATCATGTCATTTTTGTTTTTAACAAAAAATGTATTTTTTAGTTTTCAGTGCCCAGTGTTTTTCAGTTTCTAACAGAACAAGTACTTTTTTTAACTTCTACTTGTGTGTTTCCAGGCTGACAAACGGGAGTGTGTAGAGGATAAAGAGGACATTGAGGGAAACCTGCTGAGACCGGCCGGTCTGTCTCTGAGAGGAGCCACCTTCACCTTAAAAATCTTCAGAGCTGAAGATCTGCCTCAGAGTCAGACTCTCTTCCCTGTTCTGTGATTTAAAGATTCCCACATTTGCTTCAGAAACAAAGATTCACTCCCCCCACTTTTCCTCCCCTCTGCAGTGGACGACGTCTTCATGGACGGGATGAGGCAGATCCTGGGCTTTGACAGCAACAGGAAGAACTTGGTGGATCCAATGGTGGAGATCAACTTTGCTGGAAAAACTGTAAGAGACTTGGTTTCTGTCTTTTGGACCAAATGTATTTAAATAAATGAATTGAAGAGTTTTTATTTTCTCTGCTGCTTCTCAGATCTGCACCAAGATCCTGGAGAAAAACGCCAACCCTCAGTGGAACCAAAGTCTGACTCTGCCCATCAGGGTGAGACACTGATTCAGCTGTAGTTAGCCAAAGCTCACTAAAGGTTAGCCTGTAAATTTCATACAAAATTACAGTTGAAGACCACAAAGTAGTATAAGAAAACTAACAATGTTACAAATTAAACATTTGTGTTTTTCGGACTATAAGCCGCTATTTCACATGCTTTGAACTCTGCGGCTTGAACAATGATGAAGCGGCTAATTTATGGATTTTTACGGGCTAACGAAGTTCATACCGCTGCGTTATACTAGTAGCGTATGTCTGTCTGTGAATGGCAGTGTGCGTATATGTGCGTCGACCGCGCGCGCGAGCGAGAACGGTAGTAACAGTTGTTCTCGGTGTGGCTGATAATAAAGACCCCAACTTCCCTGTTTCTGTTGTGAAAGGGAGTTAGCTCCGGAGCTAATGTTCGCGCATTTTAACTACGGTCTGGACGCCGAAGCAGGAAAGAGCTAACGTGTAAGCAGTCGTGGTACAGGCACTGTTCGGGGGAAAAAAAAACACATTTATTTAATTAAAAGTGAAGAAATAGATATATTTTTGTGTAACATCTTTCTGTGTAAATATCCCGTGTTAAAACGTGGACACCTGCAGCTTATAGAGAAGTGCTGTCTAAATATGTACAATTATTTTTTTCTTTTTTAATTTAGTGGGTGCGGCTTATGTTCAGGTGCTGTACGCAATGATATATATATATATATATAAACATAAAGTTCGTGGAAATAGACATTTGTAAATATATATATATGCAATAGCCAAAAACTGGTTCAAAGATAGCTAAATGGATTAGCAACAGTCAAACATTAAACCTGAAGTGACCAAAAGTACAGGACAATAAAAGAGGACTAAGGTGGACCAGAGAGACCATGGACCTCAGAGTCTAGTCAAAAAAGCTCGAGGATGACTAAAGGTTAGCCCAGGAGTGGCTCCACATTACAAAGAATCACTTCTCACACATCTCTGTTGTTGATGTCCTTCTCCTTTTTTCCCAGTTTCCGTCCATGTGTGAGAAGATGAGGATCAGACTCTTGGACTGGTGAGTCTCTGCTGCCTCAGCTGAAGACGCTGGACTTCAGACAACTCATTATCATTTCTCTCTGCAGGGACAGAGCCAGTCATAATGATGTCATCGGTACCACTCACCTCTGCATGTCCAAGATCTCTGCTCCTGGAGGGGAGATAGATGGTGAGGCACTGGACTACATAGGACTGGACTGGAATGTTCTGGTCTGGTCTGGTCTGGGGTGGACCACAGTGGACTGTTCTGGACATGACTAGACTACACCTGTAATAAACCTGGACTCGTCAAACAAAAACGATGGTCAGGTGTAGACTGTTCTGACCCTGTTGCTATAGTTTGGACCAGAGCAGTTCAGATCAGCGCCTCTGAGGCTCAGTTCATCTGTCTGCTCTGGTTCAAGTTAGAATTGGATGGACACTGCTTTATAAAACATTTGAACCTTTCAACCTTTCTTTTTTGATACTTGGACCCTAACCATCTGGACATGTTGGTCTGTTCTAGACACTGAGTCTTGATCCACCTGTTCTGTGTTGCATGTCAGTTATTTCTCCAACTGAAAACTCACCTACGCTGATTCTGTATCACTGACATCACTGAGTTTTTATTCTCTTGTTTTTCTCACCTGTGCTGGAAAAAAAGAATACAGCAGACATTTGCAGAGAAAACAGGCGTATACCTAAGAGTACTTTAATGTAGCCCAAACATAGAACCAAGAGCTAAAAGGCAGCCATTAAAGTGGCTGAAGTCACTTAGAACTTGGAACAGTTTAAAATAAGTCACAAACGCACAAAGACAAAAGGCTAAAAGTATGCCAGCTGTAGTTATACATTTTAGCTAAAAATAGCAAATAAAAAGCTAAAGATAACTAAAAAGCTATCTTTGGCTAATTTTAGAAAGAGTAGAAATCTTCTGACTCTGCTGTTTCATTTCTTTTTCTTTTGTTTTTTTCTTCTTCTTTCTCTGAACATCGCCTTCTTCTGTGTATTCAGACGAGTCCGGCCTTCGCAGCGTCCACTCTGGCAGTACGTCTTCCTCCACCTCCTCCTCTTCTCCACATTACCACACCTTCACTTCCTCTCACTTAAACTCTCTCAGTCTGTTCTACCAACTTCTCCTCCTCATTTTAATCCAGTCACGTCACTCCTCATCTTCATCCTCAACTCCTTCTCCCACTTTTGTCTCCACCACAGTCGACGACAGCCTGGGTTTTCTGCCCACGTTCGGCCCGTGTTTTGTAAATTTGTATGGAAGCCAACGGGAGTTCAGTGTCTTCAACGACCCACACGAGGCACTAAACCTGGGAAAAGTGAGTTTGAACAAAAACACATAAAACAACTTCATGTATTTGCCTGACTTTCAGTTAATAGGCTATGACTTTTCTGTCCTATTTGGACAGACATTTCTCTATAAACATTGTACTGCTAACCTTTAATTCCCTTTTGGTATTTTGTGTCTCTTTTTGTCCATTTGCATTATTATACTTTATTGATTTTAATTTCAAGAGTCAATGTTTTTGGCTGAATTTTGTTATTATTATTATATATTTTTTTTTCCTATTTTGAGGACATGTTAGTGGTGTTTTGTTTTTTCCACATTAGCTAACTTTTAGCTTTCCCCTTAAGGTTTAGTTTCTCTAAACTTGAGTTATTTAAATGTTTTCGGCTAACTCCTGTCAACTCTTATCTTCTGTTTGTGATGATGACTCGTACATGAAATGTGTTTGTGCTGCATTTATCTGTACACTTGTGATTTGAAAAGTGTGGAGGTCAGTGTTCTGCTTCTTCTCTCCACCTCAGGGTGAAGGTGTAGCCTACAGAGGTCGACTTCTGCTGGAGCTCAGCACCAAGCTGGACCAGAAACCGGAGCAGAGGAGCGAGGACATTTCACCAGACCATCTACTGGTGGTGGAGGTGAGCTCACGTGAGCATCTCCATCACCTGCTCCATCAGCAGCTCCACCCTTTCTTCCCTCTCACCTTTACTCCTCCATACGCTGCAGAAGTTCCTGAGGAAGAGGAAGTTCTCGCTCTTCGTGGAGTTCTACTCGGCCACGCTGCTGCAGGACGTGGACCACGCCGTCCATTTTGAGGTCAGCATCGGAAACTACGGCAACAAGTTTGACTACTCCTGTCTGCCTCTGGCCTCCACCACCCAGTTCAGTCGAGCCGCGTTCGACGGTAAGTCAGTCGACTCATGGCTTCAACCGTTAGCTGGCTCTGAGCTAAATGCTACTTCAGTGTTTTTAAAATCTTTCTGGCTTAGTGTAAAATATATCGCAGCTAACTCTGAAATAATACGTTACTGGTTAACTTGATCTCTCTGTATGTGTATGTGTGGCTACCTCTACCTTATCTTTGAATTGTTTCTTTATTAAGTTGAGTTTTGTTCATCAGCAGTTTTAGACTCAAGCATTTTCTTGTTGTTTTTACTCACTTTTTTATTTTTATTTTTGGATTACATTAGGCTTTTTAAGCAAAGTTTTCTTATTTAAATAGTTTTTTTCTTTTCTTCCTGTTGCTGGTACACTAATCATGAGTTTGTGTGTGTGTGTGTGTGTGTTTCAGGCTGCGTTTATTACTACCTACCATGGGGAAACGTGAAGCCCGTGGTGGTCCTGTCGTCAGAGTGGGAGGATGTGACTCCGAGGATCAAGGCTCTGAACATGCTGCTCAACATCATAGACAGACTGGTACGTAACATTGGGTGTCCAGCAGGTGGCACCACAGAGACTAAAACGTCAGCGTTAACTTGTGTTAAGCAGTTTGTGTGTGTTTGTTTTATGCTAGGAATCAAACCTGCAGCGAGTTCAGTTGGAGGTAAGAACCGGAAGTGACATGGAGGAGGTGGAGCTTCGGGTAGTGGAGCTGCTGGATCAGGTGATCACAGACTGCAGGTAAACACTAACTGGACCCACCTACAGTACAGCTGTCCTGGACATGGAGGGCAGACAGTCGTCAGCACACACACGGTTCTTCTCCTTCTTTTCCCAGTCAGGACCTGCCCTCTCTGGACCTGTGGTCCTGCACCACCCCTCTGGACCGCTCCCTCAGACACGTCCGGACCCTACACCTGCAGCAGATCCTAGCAGCTGCTCTGGCTCTCAAAGAGGGCTCAGAGACGGAGCTGTCCACGGTCCTGGAGCAGGCTGAGGACTGGCTCAACAGGTTCAGGACCATGGCTGAGGAGGTACAAGATAACCAGTACAACAATAATAACAACAATGATTGAACTATTGGTCCAACACTGGTTGATTTTTACTTACTTGGTATTGTTTTCATTTGTAAAAATGTACTTTTGCATTCAACACTAATTCCTTCATATTTTTATTTTTTTCTAATTTTCAGCATTATTCATATTTCATATTTTTATTTTTTTCTAATTTTCTCTCATTACATTTGACTGTGTCTTTGGCCGTATGAGAATAACTTTGTTTTACTTTAATGTCAAATGTGTGTCTGTATCTAAGCCTCAGAACAGTCTTCCAGACATCGTGGTGTGGATGCTGCAGGGTGACCACAGGGTGGCGTACTATCGCATCCCTGCACACACAGTGATATATTGCCAGGAGTATTCTGGGAAAAACTGTGGAAAGCTGCAGAACGTCTTCTTGAAGGTACACATACGTATGTTTTATTCACTCAGCATCACCAAAGGAAGAAAACAAACACCAACATTGACTGATTATCTCTATGTGTGTTTTTATTTATTTATTTTATTACCATAAAGTACCCACAAGGCAGTGGGGCAGAGGCTAAACTTCCAGGTCAGCTGAGGATCAAGGTCTGGTTTGGATTGGCCGCAGATGTCAAAAACTTCAACCAATACGCTGAGGGAAAACTATCAGTGTTTGCTGAGACGGTGAGACACAGACTAACAGACGTACACAGGGGGGCGCTCTAGGCTAGTTCTCTTCCCCATTACTTGTCCAGTGTCTGTTCAGAGAACAGGGCCCTGAGCTGTCATTTCTATTTTCTAAAAACAGTATGAGAACCAGACGAGGCTGGGCCTGGTGGGCAGTTGGGGTACTACAGGTCTGACCTACCCCAAGTTCAGTGACATCACAGGACGAGTCAAACTGTCCAAAGAGAGTTTCAAACCTTCACCAGGCTGGACCTGGGCTGGGGAGTGGTTCATCAGTCCAGAGAGGACGTGAGTCCGTGCACGCACACACACACGCACACACACGCACACACACACACCAGTCCTGAGAGTAAGAATCACTGAAAAAAATCAATCCAATATGGTAAAGTCAGTTTTGTAATTTTGTGAAATGACTCACAGACTGTTGTTTGATGTGGATGCCGGTCACATGACGTTCACCGAGGAAGTCTTTGAGAACCAGATGAGGTTACCAGCAGGACAGTGGATTGGAATGACGGAAGGATACACAGATGTGGTACGTACGTGTGTGTGTGTGTGTGTGTGTGTGTGTTCTAGCTCAACTTCTAGCTCATATTTAAAAACTCTCTGCTTGTTAGAACGGTGAAAAGGCGGTGCCAAAGGATGAGGTGGAGTGTCCGCCTGGGTGGGTGTGGGAGGAGGTGGAGTGGAGTGAGGATCTGAACAGAGCTGTGGATGATCAAGGTATACACACACACACACACACACACATTGCAGTTGCATTCGGTGCAGCCGACCCAGAAATATTAGTTTAAATGAAATTATATCATAATTAGAATAATTATTATTATAGTCATGACGATGGACAGTGCAGCTGCAGTAAAAGCTAAAAGGGTCAGCTATGTTATTCTTTTTTAGATAGATGTCTAGAATATATGTGTATAGAAATAGGTCAGTTAACCATGACAGGTTAAATTAATATCAAAGGAAGAACTTTTGAACCTGACATGGCTGTGTATGTGTGTGTGTGTGTGTGTGTCAGGTTGGGAGTACGGCATCACCATCCCTCCAGACCGTCGTCCAAAGTCCTGGGTTCCAGCAGAGAAGATGTACCACACTAACAGACGCAGGCGATGGGTTAGAATGAGACGAAGAGACCAGCAGAAGATGGAGGCTCTGAGGAAGGTGTGCTCCCTCTCTCTCTTACACACACACACACACACACACACAAATACACACACAATATTAAAAAGTGTTATAAACCATCATATTAAAATATAACAATGTTACGACAAGTTAAAATAATAGCTAAAAGCTAAAAACATTTTCCCCACGTTGGAGGCAGCCTTTCTATTTATTTGAAGTTTACCTAAAACAACCACTAGATGGTGGTATAGGTTCACATATGACCACGAAGGCTCTGAAAATTTTTCGGTATTTTGTGAAATAATTAACTATTATATTATTAAGCTACTATTTAATATATATAAATGATACATAAATTAAATATGACATAATCATATGCTGTATTTTCTTCTGTAAATTCATTTTTCTGTACATATTTCATAGTTTATTTTCTTTATGTTTTTGTTGTTTTTTTCTTCACTCCTATATTTACCTCCCGGCAGCAGCAGCAGCAGCAGCAGCAGCGTCCTGATGGGTCGGGGGGGGGAGGGTGGGG